AAGCAAAATTCAAGTTTGGCAAAAAAAAAAAAGGCGTACGTGAACTATAGACTATAAAAAATAGTTCATGTAATACTAATCCACTGTTTATCAATTTAATCACAATCTAAGACATGATAAAAATAAAGAAAGAAATTAAAGGTCAACGTTCTACCCAAACAAACAACGTAAGTCAACGGAAAAGAGCTTATGGCTTTGAAAATATGATCAAAAGAACCGACAAGATCGTGATTGATGAATAGCTTATGTGGCCATGTTCGGTCTTACAGCTTTTTCCAGTTTCTCTCACACACCACCGTACCAATGCCATTCTCCATTTATTACATTGAATTTATATTATATTGAGTTATAATAAAATATATATCGTATTTTTCCAAAATATTAACAAAAGTCGTAACGCATTGCACCTATTTCCCCTCGTCATGCTTTAGGGGTTGAGAATATTATGAGTTTTTGCTTTAGAAGAAAACAAAATTTAGGTAAAACATAGTTGTCTTAATTCCTTCGATCATATTATACGTAAGTGACCTGCATATATGGCTAGCATCTTTATTTTCAGTTTTGAATGGTGATAACTGATAGAGCATATTCGTTCATTCACAGTTAAATTTCTCTTAATTTACAATTTTTTTTTATTTCACAGTTATTAAATTTTAATATTGCATCTAGAAGAAAGTGTTTTCTTTGCAAATATGTGCAACAAAAACAATATATTTGGGGTCTCTTTTGTATGACTCCTTGCAACTTGCAAGTAAGAGTACGAGCCGATATGTTTGACGAAATTTGCTTGTGTTTGCTTTATTGCTTACTTAGTAGTGTAACAAACAAAAAAAACAGTTTTATGTTTCGTTCTTTTGCTTTCAGTAATTAGAATTGGTATTTATCAAATATCTAATCTTATAATCACTTTCATAGAATCTAAACATTTTTTTCTAACTTTCTCATCAGCTTTAACCTAATCCCAGCCGGCCAGCCTAATTAAACAAGTCATATGCATGTGTACTGTGTGCCATGTTTTCACTAAATCAATTAATTCTCAATATAAATCTAAAAACATGAAAACTAAAATTTTGATCAAGTCATTCTTATGATTTTTTCCATGTTCAAATTTTTAGCTGGAGACCCAAATTAACCAAACTTTCGACAGACAGATAATATATTTGTTTTACAAAATTTAAGTATATTATAACATATAAAACAAAAACAAATCAAGTTCATCAAACTTGAAGGGAGAAGAGAGGAGGAAGATCAGAGATAGTTCGAGAAGAAGAAGATGAAGAAGAAGAACACAAGAAACGTTTAAAAGATTTGAGGAAACGAGTGATAAGATTATTGCAGACACAACTATTACTCTTCCTCAGCTTCCTTAGCTTCTTACCAATTCTCATTCTTATCCCAACCACTCTAATCATAATCAATGGTCCAGACGATCTCCTCCTCTGTTGCTGTTGTCTGGTCTTGTTGTCTGCTCGTTCTAAAACCTTCTGAATTAGAAACTGAGCTCGTCTATGAATTAGCTCTTGAGGGTCTTCTTTCTCCATCTTTGTGTACACGTATGAACTATTCTTCACCATTAATGCCATCGATTCTATCTTTCTTTTTTTTTGAGTTCTTGTTCTATGTATTGAAGTATTAAGAAAGATTGAGTAAGCTAATAACATGAAGCACAAGTACATATATATAGTGAGAGATGGGGAGAGAAAGAGAGACACCATGTGAGGATTATTAATTAGGTATATGAATAATATTAATTTGTACATACATGTGGATAAATTATTATTTATTCTCCAGTTGGTTTGCCAAGACTATATTATCTTACACACGAAGAGTGTGATCGGTAGTTTTAGAGTAAATATAGTTGGAATAAAATTGACTTTAAATTGAACCGAAGTTGAAGTATTTAGTTTTTTAGCTTCTTTTTCTACTCTAATTATGTGAGACCCTTAATTTGATATGTTTTATCAAGATTAAAACATATTTAGAGGCGGCCGTCACATGAAGACTTCAAATGATTATAAAATCATCATTATTGACCCTTTCATTTGATATTAGTAAATTTTATGTCAAGTTTGCCTTGTTTTGTTGCCTTTTGGTGGCATTTATGTGGCAATACTTGCATGCATGAACTCTTTTTCTAAGGTATCCGATGATCGGAGGAGGTAGTGTTATACCATGGGGTCAATTGACACCCATGGATTTTTAAAACTTAGTTTAATTTGATTAATCATTTATAAATTGACCCCATTACAAAATAAAATTTGACCCCCCTCAAATTTTAACTTAAGAGAAAACCACTAAATATTATATATCAAAAAGAATTATTATAATTAAACTCATTACAAATAAATTTAAAAATAAATAAATAATACAAATATATCCATTAAAATGAGTTCAACCTAATTATCACTATTCTTTTGCTACTTTATGATTTTGTTTTTCTTTTTCCTCTATTTCAATTAACATTATCCATTGAAAATCATATTGGAAATAAAATTTAAGTTAAAATTTATATATTTTTAATTTGACATGAAACGTTTTGATGATTTTGCTCATCTATTACAAAGACAAATATGTCTCTCTTTTTTTTATTTATCGACTTTTAAAACTATTTTTGATGTTTTAATTTGCAATTGAAACAGTTAAAAGAAATTTCTTTACTATGAATATTTTGAAACGACTTCATGTAATCGTATTGTTGATACAATTTCAAATAACTTTCTAGTTTTTGAATGAAAAATACGTAATACTGTGGAAAACAAAAAAATAATAACACATTTACAAGATATAAATAATTCTATGATAGATTTCTAAAAAATATATTTTGATTATATTTTATTTTTTTAAATAAAATTATATATTTTCCATATTAAAAAAAAATTGACCCTATAAACAATTTTTCTGGTTCCGCAACTGCCGATGATGGAAGCAACATGATAAGGAATCTCTCAAGTAGTACTAGTAATTAATTTTTTTAATCATGTATTGATTGTTTAGTCGTCTTCAATGTTCGACAATGTTTAACTAGCCAACCATGTATATTTCCAAACATTTACCATTGTAATTATACTACTACATCTTTTTTTTTTTTTTGGGTAAAATGTTAAATTACCCTTTATTTCTTTAAATCGTATGCATGTTTTGAGATTTCGATTTTCACACATTTTAAGAAATCAATTGCAATACCAAATCTAATCTAGTCACACATGAGTTATGCATAAAAACATGAAAATTATAGAAAATCGAAAATATTGGTCACTAGTAACCAAGTGAATTCCTAGTTATTTTGGAAAAAAATTCAATAGTCTTATGAAATATAGATAAATGATAGATGTTTACATTCATCATAAGCTGTGAAAAAGTAAGTTCGAAATTTTTTATTTTTATAGATTAGTTTTTTATTTTTATAGATTAGTTTTGATAAATTCAAACAAAACTTTAAAAAATTTTGTGGTAAAGGAGAGAAAAGTCTCCGCTATTTGGGTTCGAGTAGCATTGGCCACCGGGATTCGAATTTTAACATGGTTTCCCCGGGCCCCAGGATTAGTCTTTGGGTCTAGGAAGCCTTTAGGATCACCTGAGTTAAAAAAAAAAAAAAAAACTTTAAAATTTTTTAAAAATCATTTCATCCACTAAAATAGAGATGAATAAGTTGGAGAGAAATAACATTAGGTTATCTCATTTATTTCTCTCAAATTTTTATCTTATTCATTTTAAGTGAAAACCATTTGCACCTTATATAAACCCCAAAAAAATAAATCATTCGTGAGACTTTTTTTTGTTTTTGTTAAAAGGTTTATCATGCGTCAGACTTATTAGCTTTTTTCGACATCATTCGTCAGACTCAATTATGTCAAAATTAAAATACTTGAAAAATACACAATTTGATGAAAAAAGCTGACGCATTTATATCTTACGGCATGCCGGCAAAAACGTCAACAAAAATTAAATAAAAATAAAAGACAAAATTTCCACCGGCAATAAGCTTTGAAAATTATTTCGTATACTAAGGGTCCGAATGGTAACAGCGTATTTGGTTTTGCGGGAAAAGCGGTTTTGTAGTACGGTACGGTTCAACTACGGTATTTGTGGGAGAAATATATTTGCGGGACAAGTGCGGTTTGTACAAAATAAGCGGTATGAAATAATGTTTGATTGATGAAAATAACTAATTGCGGTTTTGGGGTGATGAAGAAACATTTCATATATTTATAAAGTTTAAATACCCAAATTAATCTAAAATAAAAAATTATTTTTCTTACATAAATATTGCAAAATCATTTAAAAAATTAAATCATAAAAAAGTACAATACAATAAAAGCTATTATTAATCTGAACCTAACTGTTTTGACACATCTTCGTTGTTCCGTAAAATACCAGTCATAGTTTCTAACAGTTGTAGCTTATCCTCATCGGTGCTTTCAGCTATGTCAATGAAATACTTACGCCAAAGTACTTTCGCCTTTTTAAATTCATCATAATCATCTTGAACTTGTACAATTGTTTTCGTAGAAGGAGTTGAAATTTCGGTGGAATGAGCTGAAGGATCTGTGTCTCGTTGACGATTGGACACCATATCTATATTTAATAAAATCCAACAATTATTCATAAACTAATATGATAAATTATATAGTATTTTATTTTTATTTTTAATAATAGAAATTTTAAATTGTATTGAATTACTTACAAAAATATATTAATTATTATAAAACTAATCTGATTAGCTATTAACTATTTGTTTTTATAGAAATAGAATCTTTAAAGTATATATATATATACATAATTACACATTTAAATTCAAAGCTTTTTGATGTAATAATAATATGTTAACTAGAAAGAAAAAAATTACCTTCAAATGATAATTGCTACTTGAAGGAAAAAGAGAGAAACAACTTCTATTTTCTAAAGTGGCATCAAACAGAAATTGTGTGTTGTATTTGAAATTTTTTGGACCTAGTCTTTACTTTTATACACAGAATTATTATTTTAAAATTAATATCTATTACCCAGTAGATGCGGATTTATTGGACCGCTGGTTATTACCCATACTGCAAATTGAAGTGCGTTTTCTTATCTGATAGGTAATATTTGTACTGTCTTGAATAACGCAAACATATTTATTTTTTTAAACAGAGAAAACGCTTATTGAGTATAAAAGTTGTGATTGGTGTTTTGTTTGTGGTTTTGTAAATTCTTCTTGAAATCCGCATCTAGAGTAGTTACCAATCACGACCTAATAATAAGAATAACCAAAAATAATGCTGATAATGAAAAAACAAAGAAACGGTGTCATAATGATGGGACAAGCAGAGTTTAGATCTGTGTGAGTGAGTGCTTACCTGAAAAGTCAACTCACCGGCTTAAGAACTCGGCTTTTGCCAGCTCTCTCTCTCTAATCAAACAATCCATGAAACAATCCTCTTGTGTAGTTGGAATAAGTTACTATTTTTCTATATACAAACAAATACTTTTCAAATTGGTATGCTAACTCTTTGCCAATAACTAATTCGTGTTAGTTGGTTTTCATATTTCATATTAACAAAAACCATCCTACATATCTTAGTTTTCTTAGAAAATTGAATTGGATATGTGTCTAACATATTTGTTTGTTGTAGTCTACAACTTAAAGACACACTATTGAATTTGAACCAATACTATATATAGTGAACTGTAACATTAGTATAAACTTAAATGTTACAAATAAAAACTAATAATCAATAACTTGTACAAGTCACGATGGCAATTATCATAAACTACTTTCACCAAAAAAAAAGAAATAAAAATTATACTAAACAACAATAATAAATACATGTTTGATGTTTCTCTAAACGGGCCTGTCTAACAAGATCTGCCCAATCTATTTTCATATACACGTGAATCATTGGACTATAAGTCTATTCATTAGGCCACAAGCCCATAAAACATATGTTGAACAGACAAACGGTGGATGATGCTTGGAGACTTGGAGTCTGAGTCTCTGAGTCCGAAAGAAGAAAAAGGTTGTGTTGTGGGATTGGTAGTTGGCACGTGACCCTACGTGGTGGTTGGCTCTTCGTTACTTGTTGCTGTTCCCAGTCCCCACTTTGGTTACAAGATATTGTTACTGAGCTCGACGTTTTCTTTCTTGGTAATTAATTCCAACCTAAAGCATTTGACTAAAATGTAATATATATTTATATGATTGTCGAAAACGAAGCTATGACTTCAGTTTTTACTAGCAAATAGCTCATATACATTATTGTCCAGAGTAAAATAAATTCTATTTACTCTGTTCGGAATTTCGACCAAAATCGCATGTTCAAAGTTACTTACTTGGACTTGGACATTGGACATAGATGAATATCCAAAAATTAGCACACCTACGACTTCAGAATTTCACCAGTACTTTTTCCTAGCTACTTTTTCCCTAACATATTTATTAATCAATTATTTCACGCATTTATTTGAAGATTCGAATTATGATTTTTCTTTTCTTTTCTTTTCTTTTGAGATTATTTTTTAAAAAATTCCATGTCCATAAAATTTTACTTATCAAAAAAGAAAACAATTACCATAAAAAGGGATACACAATCAGTGTTTCAGTTCCACTACTTGAGGAGACCAAGTGACCAACAATCTTCCAAACTCAAAAAAAGGTTTGAGCATTTTTCCAAGATTTATCTCTTCTTTCTTTAAACCTAACTCTAAAACAAAAATCCTCATCGATTTCTCAATAATATTCAATAAAGATTATAATTCCCAGAAAACAAGTATGCTTTATTTTTTTCTTTTTTTTGATGAAATTTGTGCTTTCTTGTGATTGTGTTATACTTTAATATAGGAAATCCAAAAATGGCGGAAGAATCTTTATTACTATCAGAAGATTTATCAGCTTCTCCTACTAAATCTTCTTCACTTGTGTCTGAAATATCAAATGCCTCCACGAGACCTTTTGTTCTTGCTTTCACTGTCGGTTCTTGTGGTGCTTTGAGCTTTGGATGCATTGTGAGTTCCTATATTCCATTTTTTGTGTAATCCTTAATGTTATTCTAAGTTTTCAGATTAAAATCAAAATTGGGTTTAAAGCAAGTTTTAATTTTCATCAACCAAATATTTTTCCCTATAGGTTGGATATACGGCTCCTACACAGTCCAGTATCATGAAAGACTTGAATCTATCCATAGCTGATGCAAGTTCAATTATTAAATTTTTCCTCCTTCGGTTTATTTCGGTTAACTGTTTCTGGTTCGATCGGATTTGTTTTTTGGTTCAGCTAATTTTCAATTATTGTTTTTTTGTCGTTTTCTTTTCTTAGTTTTCATTTTTTGGATCGATATTGACGGTGGGGCTAATCGTTGGAGCATTAATTTGTGGGAAATTGGCAGATTTGGTTGGTCGTGTCTACGTAAGTTTCCACTTTAAAAAAAAATTAGTTCTCAATTTACAAATTTTAATTATACAATTAAGGATGTAACCATCTTTTTAATTAATCTTGAATCAGACGATATGGATTACAAACATTCTCGTTTTAATCGGCTGGTTAGCTATTGCATTTGCCAAGGTTTGCGATTTTCTGAGTTTTCTTAGTTTATGTTATGTTTCCACAATGAAAAATCGATTAACTCGATAAGTGATTTTAATTCTTAAAATATCTTATTATTCTTTATTTTTTTCTGTATTTTTTCTTTTGTTGTTACAAAGGATGTTTGGCTGCTCGATCTTGGAAGGTTATTGCAAGGGATCTCGGTCGGAATTAGCTCATATTTGGTATGAAAAATGTTTATAACTGTAGAGGTTTTTAATCAAGAGAAATACCTCAAAATACTCTAAAACAAGATTTTGTATCAATATCTTGGAAACTTTCCAAACATACCACAAAATGTAGGTTGAGGAATGTTTCCTAAAAGTTAGTCTAATAAGGTTATAAACATCATTTAAGACCTTAACCTAAACTTAAAGGAACCATATTTCAACCTAAGTTGTGTTATTTTTGGAAATCTACGATTTTTATGGTAATTTTGAATACAAAGCATAAAATGTGTAGTTTTAATAATTTGATCTTAATTTTAATCCTTTTAGTCAAAAAAAAAAACTTTTAATCAAATTTCGGTTTCTTATGTTCTCTGATATTTTGGTTTGACAACTTCAATGGTGGGTATATATTCAACATATTAATTTGCTTGTAAATGTACTTTTTAATTAAGTTTCAGATTTGATAATTTGGTAAATTCAAAATGTCCTATAAACTTTGAGATTTGAATTTATTGAAAATGAGATTTCAAATAAGATTTTGGTAATGATTAATCACAGGGACCTATTTACATTAGCGAGTTAGCACCAAGAAACTTGCGAGGAGCTGCTTCTTCCTTGATGCAGGTAAATTAAGAGAACCAAAATCCTTGAAAACTATTATAAAAATGTACCATACTTTCCTAAATATAAGTTTTGAATGTTCTACAGTTATTCGTCGGTGTTGGTATATCGGTCTTTTATGCACTTGGAACCGTCGTTGCTTGGCGCAATTTAGCCATTTTAGGTATGTGAAGGAGATTGATTCATATCGATGCACCAATCGATCAAACATTCTTGTTCTTCGAAGAAAAAAATATTGTACTAATGATTCTGTGTTTCGTCTTTAACAGGATCTATACCTTCTCTAGTGGTTCTGCCTCTTCTTTTCTTCGTCCCCGAATCTCCTAGATGGCTAGTAAGCACTTATTTATATTATCCATGTCCCTTATATACTACTTTAGGTCCCGTTAAACTTCACATGTAAGGATCTAATAACATTGCATTTTAAGCTCTTGGTCTTACCTTCTAAGAAAACACATATTAACAAATACCATTTCATTAATCTTCCTCTCTAAAGGACATATCTTACTGTTTTACCTTCTAAGAAAACATTATTTTAGTGTTTGTACCAATTGTATTTTGGAAAATATAAAAATCAAAGCTGACAAGACTTGAACCTTACTGAACTATGATGGTCATCTAAAATCGTGGTTACAGTGTAAACGATTTAAAACAATCGGATCCTGTTTGTAGGCTAAAGTTGGGAGGGAAAAGGAGGTTGAAGGGGTTTTATTAAGCTTGCGAGGAGCAAAATCTGATGTCTCCGATGAAGCAGCAGCGATATTAGTAAGGATATATAAATCTATATGCATTACAATAGTCATATGATCTATATATATTTTACATAAATTTCCCAACATTTTGATGATCATCAGGAATACACAAAACATGTTGAACAACAAGACGTCGATAGCCGTGGTTTCTTCAAGTTGTTCCAGCGAAAATACGCGTTACCACTTACTGTAAGTAACTCTTCAAAAAGATGTAACAAATTGAAATTGAAAACATTATTGTCTTTGCATTTTCTTGATTATTTAACCCATTGTTTTACACAGATTGGAGTTGTTCTTATATCAGTGCCTCAGCTTGGAGGTCTTAATGGTTATACTTTTTACACCGATACCATTTTCACCTCTACCGGTAAATAAAAACCTCATTCTTTTTCTTCGATCTTGCTTCATCAAACGGTCAATAATTATCTGATTGATCATCAGGTGTATCAAGTAACGTTGGATTCATATTGACATCTATTGTTCAGGTTCTACTGATATAAGATCATAAACATGACTACAATTCATAAGTTTTTTTTTTCGTTTAACATCGATCATCATTCTTTAACGGATCATTTTCAAACACATTTTTGTAGATGTTTGGAGGCATTTTAGGTGTTTTGCTTATAGACATATCCGGAAGACGTTCTCTTCTACTGGTAAACAAAATTTAAAACTCGAAAACCGAAAGTTTTAATAACCGAATCCACAGGTTATTTTGATAGGATTTTTTTGAAGAAGATTAAAGAGAAATTTTTGAGTGATTGTAGGTTTCTCAAGCTGGAATGTTCTTGGGTTGTCTTGCAACAGCCATTTCATTCTTCTTGCAGGCATGCTTATTAATCTATTTACTTTACTAAACCGGTGCTTTGGTTTCAATTTTGAAAAACTGGGATGTAATCTTTTTGGTTTTCTTACTCTACAGAAGAACAATTGCTGGGAAAAAGGAACACCAATATTGGCTCTCATTAGTGTTATGGTAATTAATAAACTATCATCACAATAAATAGTTTTATTCAAAAAGACCATTATTTAAACAATGCCAAACCATATAAAATTGTGTTTTGTGTATTTATCATATTAGGTGTATTTTGGATCATACGGATTAGGCATGGGACCAATACCATGGATCATAGCATCAGAGGTAAATTAAACAAAAAAAATGTAAAATGAACAACAATATCTAAATGTTAATTCATTATAAATTGATAATTCATGTGTTTTTTTTTACCATTATCTTTATTAGATTTATCCAGTAGACGTGAAAGGAGCAGCAGGAACAGTGTGTAACTTGACCACCTCTATAAGCTCATGGCTCGTTACTTACTCTTTCAATTTTTTGCTTCAATGGAGTTCCACAGGTAATTAATCTTTAATATTTATTATATACAAAAGAAAGACTTGTAACTATCTAAAATAAATGATCTTCTTCATGAACTGGCAAAATAAATTTATTGCAGGAACATTTATGATGTTTGCCACTGTGATGGGCCTTGGATTTGTGTTCACAGCCAAGCTTGTTCCAGAGACCAAAGGCAAATCTTTAGAGGAAATTCAGTCTGTTTTTACTGATTCTCCTCCTGAAGATTCTACAATTTTCTAAGATAGAAAATAAAATTACCTTCAAACTTTAACCTCAGTTTTATATTTCATGTTTTTTTCCATTGGGTCATGGGCCCAATTATTTTTTATTAAATAAGTCCATAAATACATGATTTTTAGAAGTTGGTTGTTGGTAACAAACTTGCACGATCTAAAAGTAAATCCAGAACAATAAATAGATAAAATCTGGGGTTTTTTTTTGTTTTGTTAAAATAAAATATAAACATAGGTATAATTGAATTTTTTTTTTTTGGCCATTTATTGTGTTACCTATGCTAATTTTTATTTTTCATGAAACTAAATCTAATATTGTTTTAAAAATTCTATGCGCACGAGAAAGAAACAAAAAGCAAACACAATTTGTGTTTAGTTTTCAGTTCCGCATTTCCTGCTACAAGAGACCAACAATCTTCCAAACGCAAAAAAGTTTGAGCATTTTCCACGATTTATCTCTTCATGAAAAGAAACCTAACCATTTTTATTTTTGCGAATAAATAAATAAAACCAAATAAATAAATAAAAAAACCCTCACATCGATTTCCGGGAAAGAAAAACAAACTTCAAGACAGTATTGAATTTGGTTCATAATCTCAGATTTCTGAAAAAAATGGCAGAAGAAGATTTATTATTACCAGCTTCTTCTTCTTCTTCTTTTTCTTCACTTGTGTCTGAAATATCAAATGCATGCACGAGACCTTTTGTTCTTGCTTTCACTGTCGGTTCTTGCGGCGCCTTTGCCTTTGGATGCATTGTGAGTTCCTTAATTCTTTTAATTTTCGGGTCTTTTAATAAAATGCGTTCTTGCATGTTTAATTTTAATTAACCCAAATTAAAGCTACTATTAAAACTTTTATTTTCACAGATTGGATATTCGGCTCCGACACAGACCAGTATCATGAAAGACTTGAATCTCTCCATAGCTGATGCAAGTTCAATCAATTTTTTTCTGTTTTCTATTTCGGTTTATTCCGGTTAATTTCTGGGTCGATATGATTTGGTTTATTTCTCAGTATTCACTATTTGGGTCGATATTGACGGTGGGGTTAATCCTTGGAGCATTAATCTGTGGGAAGTTAACAGATTTAGTTGGTCGTGTCAAAGTAAGATGAATAATTAGTTTTTAAATCCTTCTACTAACGAACTGAATTTAAACTATATAATTATTTATGGTTATTAATCATCTTTATGTGATTCTCTTTCGAACCAGACTATATGGATCACAAACATACTCTTCTTAATCGGTTGGTTCGCTATCGCATTTGCCAAGGTTTGTGATTTTCTGAGTTCTTTCTATATTGGTTTGAATTTTAATAATGAAATGCCATCGTTTTGAAGTTGATAATTCTACTTCTTTAATTGAATCTTATTACTAATTTTTGTTCTTTAACTTTTTGTTACAAGGGTATTTGGCTGCTTGATCTCGGAAGGTTACTACAAGGGATCTCGATCGGAATTAGCGTATATTTGGTATGACTGAATACTAAAACTAGATGTGTTTGATATTTAACTTTTCTTATTTATGGTTTGACTTTTTGATTTAGAGGTAGCTAGGTGGGTATGTAGTAATCTATTTAGGTTTAGATGTATTGATCTGGTCAATTTCAAAATGTTTTGGCAACTTTAAAGACTTATTGAAAACGAGATTAAATATTGAGTTCTTTTTGGTAACAAATCTTATGATCTAATGATTATTAATCACAGGGACCGGTTTACATCACCGAGATAGCACCAAGAAACTTGCGAGGAGCTGCTTCTTCCTTCTCGCAGGTAAATTAAGAGAACCAAAATCTTGGAAACTATTATAAGAATTTATTATATGTGTTCCTACAATACAAGTTTTGAATGTTCTACAGTTATTCGCCGGTGTTGGTATATCGGTCTTTTATGCGCTTGGAACCGTCGTCACATGGCGCACTTTAGCAATTTTGGGTATGTAAAAATGACAGATTCTTCTCGAATGCAAAAATCAAACTTTCTCATTTCATTCGAAATACAAGAAAATGTAATAATGGTCTCATGTTTTGTATTTGACAGGATCTATACCTTCTCTATTGGTTCTGCCTCTTCTTTTATTCATCCCCGAATCTCCTAGATGGCTAGTAAGCATTTGGTTATTAGATATGTTTGCGTTTACGTTTATGTTTTCTATGTTAAATTATTGTTTTTACTTCCAAAGTTTTTTTTTTTTGGATAGTACAGAACCAAATAAACCAAGATGAAATTTGTTTGTAGGCTAAAGTAGGGAGGGAAAAGGAAGTTGAAGCAGTTTTGTTAAGCCTGCGAGGAGCAAAATCTGATGTATCAGATGAAACAGCAGAGATATTAGTAAGGATCTAATCCATATGATCTACATATATAAATCTTTTTTTTTATTACCTGAATTCCCCAACAATTTGATGATGATCAGGAATATACAGAACATGTTAAACAACAACAAGATGTCGATAACCGTGGTTTCTTCAAGCTATTTCAGCGAAAATATGCGTTCTCACTTACTGTAAGTAACTCTTCAAAAGATAAAAAAAAAAAAAAAACTTCAAAAGCTAGCATTATTGTTTTTGCATTTTCTTGATTTATTTATTTCAATTGGTTTATACAGATTGGAGTTGTTCTTATAGCTTTGCCTCAGCTAGGAGGTCTTAACGGTTATTCTTTTTACACTGACTCCATTTTCATCTCTACCGGTATATAATCCTTCTTGTTCTTGTTTTTCTTTATTTTATCTACCATAATGATATGATTACTTCATCAAATGGTCCTTAAATATTATCCGATGATCCAGGTGTATCGAGTGACTTTGGATTCATATCGACATCAGTTGTTCAGGTTATAGTTATACTAATACAATATCGTAGAGCATGGTTACACAAAACTCGGGTAGCTTTTCCGTATAATATTCAATACACTTTTCTTACCAATCATTGAAAACACATTCTTGTAGATGTTTGGAGGCATTTTAGGTACTGTGCTTGTTGATGTAACTGGAAGACGTACGCTCCTATTGGTAAAAGAAAATTTAAAACTCAGTATCCGATATCAATAGGTTAATTTGTTTAGTTTTCGAACAAAGTTTAGGAACTTTTTTTTGAGTGATTTGTAGGTTTCTCAAGCTGGAATGTTCTTGGGTTGTCTTGCCACAGCCATTTCTTTCTTCTTGAAGGCATGCTTACTATTCCATATACTCCACTAAACCGGAAACTAATTTTAGTTTTTTTTTTTCAAACTGGACCGTAAAATTTCAGGTTGTTTCCTTCTGCAGGAGAATCATTGCTGGGAAACAGGAACACCTGTCTTGGCTCTCATTAGTGTTATGGTAATTAATAAGGGTTTTGGGATTTAGAATTAAAAAGTTTTTTTAGATTTTAATTTTTAGACTATTTAAATTTAAAATCTAGAATAATTTTCTGATTTGATACAGATTTTCATAATTTTCCGGTAACAACAGTATTTTGCGTGTTTATTATATAAGGTGTATTTTGGATCATACGGATCTGGTATGGGATCAATACCATGGATCATAGCATCAGAGGTAAATATTCAAAATTTTAAAATAGGTGTAAAAATAGATCACAGACATCTAAAAAAAGTTAAATTTCATTATATAGTTCATGTTTTATTTTCCTTTCTAGATTTATCCAGTAGATGTGAAGGGAGCAGCAGGAACAATGTGTAACTTGGTCAGCTCTATAAGCTCATGGCTCGTTGCTTATTCCTTCAGTTTCTTGCTTCAATGGAGCTCCACAGGTAAATCTCTAGTAGTACTTTTAAGTAAAGTAAATTAAATGAATATGTTGACGAAAAATTGATCTTTTCACAATTTCTGAATTTTGAAGATAAAGTTTTAACTATTAGGTTTATTGCAGGAACATTTCTGATGTTTGCCACAGTGGCTGGCCTTGGATTTGTGTTCATAGCCAAGCTTGTTCCAGAGACCAAAGGCAAATCTCTAGAAGAGATTCAATCTCTTTTCACTGATTCTCCTCAAGATTCTACAATTTTCTAAAATTCCCCCAAAACTGTATAAGAAAGAAGTATGTAAACAAAAAAGTTTTATTACAATATGTAAACATTATTGTTTTTAGCAAGAGTTACAATATTAACAAACACCTTCCACAAGATTCACATGAAACTATCAAAACATTAGAAAATAATACAAAGTTTTACAGACTGAAACTAGTAAAATACTCAGAAGAAAAGCTTTATTGAGAAGCACAAAGACCACCTCTTTTTTTTTACTGTTCTGTAATTGTGAGTTTTGTATTTAACCCACTGATCCTTCAAGCTTGATGCTCATAAGCTGGTTAACTTCAGCTCCAAATTCATCAGGTAACTTGTTGAAGACATCTCTGCAGAATCCAGAGATCATTGCCGCTAATGCTCTCTCGTGATCTATTCCTCTCTGCTGGAAATAGAAAAGCTGGTCTTCTCCAATCTTTGAGGTACTCGCTTCGTGCTCTACTTTCGCCGATGGATTCTTTACCTGTTATTGTTTCAGACCCACCACAAAACAAAAGTTTACAGATTTAAGAACTTGAATCGAGGTGTTGTATTTATGGGAAATCAATCAAGAAAGGGCAAAACAAATTACAGCATAATCATAGCTTATAATAAAGATTGGATCATAGGCAATTTACCTGGATGTAAGGATAGGTATTAGCAGCTGCTTTGTCCCCGATAAGCATTGAGTCGCAAGTCGATGTATTTTTAGCATTCTCAGCTTTGGATTGAACCTGAACAAGACCACGATAACAATTTCTCGAATGCCCAGCCGAAATTCCCTTTGAAATGATTCTGCTTTTTGTATTCTTTCCTTTGTGAATCATCTTGGTCCCTGTATCAGCTTGCTGATAGTTATTAGTCAAAGCAACCGAGTAAAACTCGCCAACTGAATCATCGCCTTCTAAAACCACGCTCGGATACTTCCAAGTTATAGCCGATCCCGTCTCAACCTGAGTCCATGAGATCTTGGAGCGATCCCCGGCACAGAGACCACGCTTTGTGACAAAATTGTAAATCCCGCCTTTACCTTCTTCATCCCCAGCATACCAATTCTGCACCGTAGAGTACTTGATCTCAGCTCCTTTCCCGCAATAGAGCTCAACCACAGCAGCATGAAGCTGATTCGTGTCATAAGAAGGAGCAGTACACCCTTCTAAATACTCAACAAAACTCCCTTCCTCTGCAACAATCAAAGTCCTCTCGAACTGACCAGTCTCCATCGCGTTAATCCGGAAATAAGTCGAAATAGGCATCGGGCATCTAGTGTTCTTCGGTATATAACAGAAAGACCCATCACTAAAAACAGCAGAATTCAAAGCCGCGTAGTAATTATCATCACTAGGAACAACTCTTCCCAAATACTTCTTAATCAAATCCGGATACTCCCTAATAGCTTCCGATATCGAACAGAAGATCACACCCGACTTCTCTAGAGTCTTCCTATGAGTAGTTGCAATCGAAACACTATCGAGAACCGCATCAACAGCAACATTAGCCAAACGTTTCTGCTCTGTTAAAGGAACACCTAACTTATCGAAATACTCAAGAAGCTGAGGATCAGCTTCATCTAAACTATTCAAAGTTGGTTTCTTTTTAGGAGCAGAGTAATAACACATATCCTGGAAATTAATCGAAGGATATCTATTATCTGACCATTTAGGTTCTTCTAACTTCAAAAACTTAGCATAAGCTTTGAACCTAAACTCAAGCATCCAATCTGGTTCTTCTTTCAGTTTCGAAATCAAACGAATCGTTTCTTCAGATAAACCTTTAGGGATTGTGAAGGAATCGATATCTTCAACGAATCCGTATTTCTTATCGTAATCAAGATTCTGGAAATACTGTTGAAGTTTATCAGTGGAACTAACAGTTGATGTACCTGATGATTCAGCTCCGATGGGACGAGAATCGATTCCAACAACATCGGCGGCTCTGACTTTGAAAATGGGTCTCGTCGGAATTAGGGATTTGGGAGATGGGAATTTCAAGGATTCGGGTTTTGGGTGAAACCCTTTTGGTGATTTTGAAGAATCGGAAGTGGGTTGTGGAGAGAAGCTGGAGATACCGTTTGCGAGAAGAGACGCCATTGTTGTTGTGGCTCTAAGGAGAAGTAGAAGGAGATCGTTTTTTTTTTTTGGAGTCGTGTGTTGAAAAAACAAGGATAGGGAAAAAAGAGAGATGAAATGTTAATATTTATTGAATTTGTTTTATTGTTTTAAATGATTAATTTTCTTGGCCGTAGATTGACGATAGTCTCGTGTCCACCACGGGACTTATAAACCACATTCGTTTTCCACTAACTAATTTTATTTCACTTTATTAAAGAAAAAAGTCGCTATTTTTTTTTTTGTCTATAATAGCTCAATTACTTGGTTTGATTTCAGTGCGTTATTGGTTTCTTTTTCTCGGAATAAAAAACTTACAATCGTATGTGATGATTCGAGAAAGTAGTACTAGGATCAGTGACTTTCCGGGAAATCCTTGGTGCATTTTTTTTAACCTACAATCACTTTAAAAGGCCTAAGTTAAAAGCCCATTTTTAAATGCCTTGGCCCAAATCCAGAACGCAAAACGGAGAAGGAAGTAAAAAACGCTCAAAGTCACGGCGATTCATCGCCCAACACTTTCCTTTACTTCGCCGGAGAAATCCTGTCGACAGTAATTCTTTTCCTTATAGCGTTTGTTCCAGAAATCTCGTAGGTGTCTTCGGTGATTCGAATTTGACCTCATTTATTTTTGAAAAATTGATATAGGGCAAGTTTTTCCCCGGAGAAATCGTCTTTATTAACGAGCTCTACAGTAATAACTGATTTAGCTGAAATTCAACTGTTGTAAAGTTAGGATCTTGACGGGTTTTTTTTGTTGTTGTTGTTGTAGCTGTGATTGATATTTCAAGGTTTTGGAAGATGGATATAATCTCACAGTTGCAAGAGCAAGTGAATTCGATTGCTGCTATCACTTTCAATGCTTTTGGGACACTCCAAAGGGATGCACCACCAGTCCAGCTTTCACCTAATTATCCTGAACCACCCGCTACAACTACGGCTGTTGATGAGGCAACGCCTTTTCCTGAGCAACCTAAGCAGCTCAGTGCCGGTTTAGTTAAGGCTGCTAAACAGTTTGATGCTTTGGTTGCTGCACTTCCTTTGTCAGAAGGTGGTGAAGAAGCTCAGCTCACAAGAATCGCTCAACTCCAGGTAAAACAAGATTCATTTTTCGATTTCTTGAAGCCAATACTTTTATTCATCCCTGTTTTTTCTTCAGGTGGAAAATGATCTTGTTGGTCAGGAACTCCAAAAGCAACTAGAGGCTGCAGGTAAAATCTCCTTCACTGCTGCTTTGTCTATCTGTAACTGGAGCAGATCCATTATGCTCTTCAAATTTCAATGTGTATACTTTCTTGTTGCTATACGCACTATGGTTAGATGTTATCTTTAGTGGTTCTAGAATTTGGATTTTTCGTTTTCCCTTGCAACTGCCTCTGACAATTAAGCTGATGTGAAGTGGTGTCACCTTGTTTGTGACAGAGAAGGAGCTAAAGCAAGTCCAAGAGCTATTTGGACAAGCTGCAGACAGTTGCCTGAACATGAAGAAACCTGAATGAAATGCTTTTTTACCTTGTGTCAAGCTGATTAAAGAAAGTATATGATTTGGTTCAGAAACAATTATCTTTTAGGTTCAGAAGGAATATCAATTCTGATTTGGTTCACCAAAAAAATTCTTGCAGAAGCAATTACAAGAATCTTAGTTAGCTCACAACAACAAAACCATTATTTTAACCTTAAACTTCTTTCTATCTGTCTAATTAGTAATTACAATCTCATAGAATCCACCTAATCATTCTAAACATTACAGGGCCGTCATGATTGACCCACCATGTCTGGTCTTCCGGTCAGGGCTGGTCAGATTAATATGGTCTCGGGTATCTATCACATTCAATCCAAGTTGCTGAAAAGAAATGACCAGTTCATAACTTGGGTCCAAAACCGGAACTTGACTTGACTTGGACAACATGCAGATCTTAGTAGTCCGACCAGTCTGGTGCAACAGTAGAGACAAGGTTTAATCATTCCTCAGCTGGTTAGTCCTAACTCCTCATCCTTTCCCTCTCACCTATCAAGACTTGTGCAGAGTCCAGCATTCTTTTGTCTGCGTGTATGAAGCTTTAGGATGAAAAGAAAACTTTAGCCGGTCAAGTAAGAATGGAATCCGAGTTCTGTACAAAATCACTACTTTCTTGATGAAACAATCGTTTTCTTTTTCGGTTTCTTCTTGTTGGGTGCTTGAGAAAATGCAGAATGACTTTCTTCGATGATATGTTGTACATCTTTATCATCTTTTGGAATTTTTGATACCAATGCCTTGGCACCTTCCAAATCCCCTGCAGCTAGTAGAACCTGATACATCCTGCCAAACCATAAACCAGAACCAATGATATACTGGAAACCTTGAAATCTCTTGATCTAATTATCAGAATAAACTGCATTCTCTCGAAACTGATTCAACCCGTAAACCGAAACGCTAGTCATAAACTTGGAACTCTCTTTGTGCCAATGATAGTACAAGATTTATCTTGTATTCTTTCATTTCAATACATATCTTCTCTTTTTGTTCCTTAAGTCTATAGTTCTTGAGCAAAGAAACCAATTACTAATCCATAAGGAGAAAAGAGTGGCTTACCTCAGAAAGCTTAGGACGTTGCAAGGGAGTGCTGCAGATTGGTACTCTTTCCACACCAATAGACCGTGCTCCTGGTCCTTGGCATTAACACATGCATGTAAGAGAAAATCTAGACATTTTCTTGAAGGAACAAACCCAAGCTCATCTTTCATAAATCTTAGCAAATCCATTCCTAGCTGCACTTTGGTTGGCTCTGTCTCTGCGATTGCCCAAAACACCTGATTCAAAACAGCAAATCACTGAGAGGCTTAAAGCACTGAAGGTTAATTCAGTAAAAGAGAAGATAGCTACTAGCTACAGACTCAAGCTTGATCGCTGTTCTAATTAAATGTTCTTGCTTAGTGCTTTACTACAGACTTCTTCATTGAGAGATCCCACAATGATCCAAGAACATGGAATGTGAACGTTGCACATACTCGGAGACATCTCAAGGTTATCTTTGATGACTAAATGAACAAAGTTGCCAGAAAGAAGCCCATGAGAGAAACAAAATCAAACCTCGTCAAAATGAGTTTCCACAGGCAAGTCTTTCTTTAACAACCGGACCTTGTTCTGTTTCAGCAAATCAACAATATTGCTATACAACAAAAAGAGCAAATCAAGAATGAGACATTTTCAACAATTGGGTAAACAAGAACTAATTCTAGAGCATGGGTGATTTACTCTACCTCGACTTTCTATTGCGGACAGCGAACAAGATCATTCTGAAGAAACCATCTATCCAACTAGTATCATCTTGTAGGTCATCAGCCAGTTGAACTATCGTACTTAACTCTCCATTTGAATCAGAGTATTCCTACAGAGATAATCATTTTACTGATAATCAACCAATTGATATATGATATTATGAAAAAGTGTGATTGAAAGTCCATACTTACTATAAGAGATATAATCGATTTCGGGTCTACGTGGCATTCAGCTTTCCTCATTTCTTCATATATATGTAAGGCATCTGCCCATTTTCCACGTGATGCAAGAGCCGAAATAAGCACACTTTTCAGTTCATTTTGGTTTATAGCCGGAACATCTGGATCTACGAGCACCTATGGTAGAATAAAAATTTGAGCTCTTACTCTAATTACGGAAATGTATTCCACTTTTTCCACTTTTGCGAACTTACAAAGAAATAAAGAGTATGCGTGCCTACCTGTTTCGCCTTCTCAAACTTCCCAGATGCTGCATATGCATCTATCAGGGACATGTAAATTCGCTTAGTAGCTTGAACTCCTGCTTGCTTCATCTCCTCGTAGTACTTGTAAAGGCACCAAGACATTTTTCACTCAACACATAGAGAAAAAGAGAGAGTATACATTTTGTAGTGATGTTTACACGACTCCAAGTTAAGAAGAACAAGTAGACAAAAGATCTAAAGAACAGAAAATTCTGAAATTTACCTTAGTAATAGCGTCCTCCCGGTTACAGTTGTTTATTAGATAACCAAAAGTTATGGAATCAGGTTTAACACCAGCTTCCTTCATTTGCTTGACGACCATTAACGCCCTACACACATTTTTCTTCAAAAACATACAAAAACCATCAGCTGAAAACGATTTAAGAGACATTGGGAGCTAACAGAGACATGGACAATCTATCAGGTCAGAATTTGCAAACATGAAATGGGAGCTTAAGATATTACCTCCCTAAAATATCCAGCCAATATACAATTGAACATGCTAGAGTTCGGTTCCAAATTGAAGTTTTTTAAATTACCAAGCATATTATATGCACCTTCAAACTGCACATAAAACCAAAGATTTAGAGCAAAAATTTGTGTTCAGAGAAACAAGCGAAGCAGCAACTGTAAGAAACAGCACCGACATGTCCTCATTTCTAATATATGGTTTGAGGATATAATGAAGCTGAAATTAGAAGAAAGAAAGTTACATCTTTGATTCTTGTGCACAAACGTATAATGCTCCGGAAGTTCTCAGTATTTGGTTTCACACTTTTAGTGCACATAATTGAATGGATTCTTCGCACCTGAAACATATATGAGCAGAGTTCAATTGTATATTTGTCTGGATATAGATTCAAGCTAAATGAGGATGCGTACCAAATCAAACTCAAGAACTTCATCAATGGCATGTAACAATGAATGTAGGATATCTGCGGATATTATCAGACCTGCTTCACCCATTTTTTCAACTATATCAAGAGCAGTGACTACCTACAGCACGGAGAGAATAATCATTAGAGAGAGCACCCAAAATAAAGCCAATTATTATAAAACAAGCATAACAAATACCTCATTCGAGTCACAGCTATACTTAACAAGCTTTTCGTACGATGTAGATGAAGGCATAACATCAAGTTCTTCATGCATCTTGTTAAATTTCAAGATGGTATCCTCAACCTTTAATTGTAGAAAACCAGTAAAACATGGACAAGTAGGAGGCATCAGTTATCGAAGCAAAGACTTAAAACACTAATTTGCGACTAATATTCATGAGAAGTCCTTACCGTCGGATTTGGGGTGCAAGTAGAATAGATAGAGATGAGTTCAGAAACGTTCTTCACTCCTTCATCTGCGCATGTTAATGAAAAACATATTACACATGCTATAACAATGATTTTCTAGAGGCATAAACATGTTACATCAAGAGAATTTCTTGGTTTATGTCAAATGCACCCTTACCACTTTCTCTTAGCTCCCAAAGGAACTTCCCGGCAACAGAATCCAATGAAAACCTCCCAAGGTACTCAAATATGTTTGTCAATAGGTCCGACGATTGGACTTTTGTTATGTCTACAATCCCTAAGAGCCTCTCAAGATGGTACTTTTGGTCCTTTTTACATAGTGCAAGCAGATAATTTTCTGTTTGTTTGAAGGATCAAAAAGGTTAGATTTTGCAGAGTAAGAGAGAGCCAAAAAACAACAGAACCCCCAAAATTGAATATTGCGTACCTTGTAAGATTGATAAGCTTTCCCTATTATCACCATCAATTGTATCACAAAGCTCCTCAATCTTCTCTCCATCACCAAGTTGGATCCAAAAAAGCATTTCATAGTAACCAAGTCTCTCAACCGAACCAGGACTGGCCTCCCTAATCACATCCTTAAAACTTTGGAACTCCTCTACCATATCCATATCAATTAAATAACCAAGAATAGGACCATAAACTCTTTCTTCAATCAAGAATCCGCGATCTCTCATAGATTTCAAAAGCTCAAAAGCCTTCTCAATGTGGCCAAGAGCATAATCTAAATCATTGCTTTTCTCCGCATGCTCTAAGTAAACTCCAACCATCGCATTGTACTCTGTCACACTCATCTCTTTCGCTACCCTATTGAAAGCACCAAACATAGCCTCAGTGCCTAATTTCTGAGCAGAGTCTCTAAATATCTTTGCGAAACGCCGTGACAAACCGTTCTTCTTGTAAACACGTTTCTCCTTCCTTTCGCGAGACAACTCTTTCGATCTTAACGAAATATCATAAGGGATCTTAGTGGTAAAACTTGGTATCTTCAAAAATAAGTTCTTCTCCAAAGAGGTTTTCTCTGATGTTGTTACTGAAATGTGATTGAACTATGAATAAATGAGAGTTCATTGAAGAGGGAACTTACTCATCAAGAGACAAAATTGGTAACACATACCATGTAACAAATTTGATACTCGATCCTGTAATGGTACTTCCTCAAGATCTACACACAATTGCACAAAATCAATCGAATTCTAAACATTACCCAGATAAACAAAAATATCAAATTTACAACGAATTCACTCTCAAGATAACATTTTTAAAAAATTGTCCTATTCTAAAAATCCCAATTACCAGAGGACGAGTTTTTGAAACAGAGAAGATCTTTGACAGCTTGAGAAGTTCCAGCGATGTCTCTGTTGCCGGAAGCAATTGACGATTCGCCGGTGGTTCTAATACGGGATTTGAAGACTGAGCTTAATAAGCTTTTGTTAGCCTTTGAAACAACCATGTTCGAACTCAAGTGAGATCGAGAAGAAGGAGAGAATGTAGAAATTTTATAAACCCAAAACCCTTAACTGGGGTTTTCAGCAAAAGTTTAAAGTTTAGGGTGATAATTTAATTAATCATATAATTAGGGGTAATTATGTAAATAACAAGATTTGTTGAAGAAGAATTGTCAAAATTTGATTTTGCCTTGGGTTTGATTTGATCTTTACTGGATTCAATTCAAAGATTATAATAAATTTATGAACATCAATTCAAAGATTGTCTTTTTATCATTCACGCTTCTTCTTCTATCATCAATCGTTGAATCCGATTCGATTTTGCCTCTCGTCCGGCTTAGCTTCTACGGTGGCAATGGCGGCTCCGGGATCGGTTCAGAAAGGAGATGAAGAGTGGCGTGCGATTCTTTCACCTGAACAGTTTAGGATTCTTCGTCAAAAGGGCACTGAGTAAGTTTTTTTATTCACCGATTTTATGGTTCAATTTTGCTTTAAAAGTTGAGCAAATTTGGGAATTTGGATCATTAGGAATTTAGGATAGTGCCCTCTTCATTGCTTCGATTAGCTATCTGGTTTTTTTAGAATCTAGGGTTTAATATCTTCTTCTGATTTTAAGAATACCATCTTTGCTTAAGAGTGTGGCTGGAATCAAGTTTCAAACATTAAGATACGACGATGCTCTGATTTAAGATTATATTCTTGTTGAACAATTGGGATAAACTCAGTTGTTGTAGTTCTTCAAAGAATACCATCTTTGCTTAAGATTCTAGATGAGAGCTTGTGATAACAGATATGATCTGAGTCTCTTTTAGTTTCAATGTGTATGTTGAGAGCACGACTTTAGAACTTTGTTGCTTAGTTTTCGTGAGGGTTACGTCGTCAGGGTTTCGGTCTTTGTAGTATTTGAGTAATGAGTATCATACTGAATAGGGAATGACTTATGTAATGGGTATATAATTCCCCCTTGTTCTTGCGGGTTTGTGTATTGTTGATATCAGATATCCAGGAACAGGAGAATATGTCAACTTCGACAAAGAAGGAATTTACGGTTGTGGAGGATGTAATGCTCCTCTTTATAAATCCACCACAAAGTTCAACGCTGGTTGTGGCTGGCCAGCTTTCTTTGAAGGAATCCCCGGTGCCATTACCCGAACGGTATACAAACTCTCAGAACACACTTTTTTCATCAAATTGACAACAAAAAAAGAACTCTCTCTTTTTGTGATTTTTTGCTTACATTCTTGATTTACATTGGTTTATCAGACAGACCCAGATGGGAGAAGAACAGAGATCAACTGTGCAACATGTGGTGGACATCTTGGTCATGTTTTCAAAGGCGAAGGTTTCGCTACTCCAACCGATGAACGCCATTGCGTAAACAGCGTTTCACTTAAGTTCACACCCGCAACGTCTTCCTTGTAAAATCTTGGGCGAACAAGATTAATTGTTCTTTCTCTGGATTTTTTGAAAAACAGAACAAGAATCTTGTAGGTGTGTGTGTGTATCTATACTGTTTTTTTTTCTATAATTATTATTTTGATTCATCACCTCACGTATTTTGACAACAATTTGTAACTGAATAAAACGTACTCTTGTAATATAAAGTCTGCTATGTTGTTGCGCATCTCGAAGACTCTATTGACACGTGCATAATACATTCATACACCACTCTAGAGATTCACGACAGTTTCATATGAATGTAGACACAAAACTTGGAACCATACATCACTGAAATTATAGTACATATATATCACTGTAATGTTTCAAGAACCTACCTGTTCATCATCAGACGCTTGCCTCTATTGATATTTCAGCTTCTGGTTACTTTCCTCAGTAGTAGCTTCTCCGTGGTGGTCATGGCGGATCCTGTGTCGGTGGTCCAAAAAACAGAGGAGGAGTGGCGTGTGATTCTTTCTCCTGAGCAGTTTCGGATTCTCCGTCAAAAAGGCACTGAGTAAGGCTTTGTTTTCCTTAGAACAAGCTAATTAGGCTTCAAGTAATCATAGACTGAATCTTGAAGAAATATAACAAAATTAGGGAAAAATTAAATCTAGATGCACATCAAACAAGTGTAGTTGCTTCTTGCTTTTGGTCTTTCTTTTGATTGTTGCAAACGCGATTTCTGCAAAGTATTTTATTACTTTGTTAAATATATCAGAACTCCAGGAACTGGAGTATATGACAAGTTCTTCGAGGAAGGAATCTTCAGCTGTGTCGGATGCAAAACTCCTCTTTATAAATCCACTACAAAGTTTGACGCCGGATGTGGCTGGCCAGCTTTCTTTGAAGGACTCCCCGGTGCCATTAACCGAACCGTAAAGACCTTCTTTTGTATGTTTTGGTTTATTTTCATGACTACTGGTAACTAAAAAAACTTTTTTCCTTGATTTGATTATACATTTACCAGCCTGATCCAGATGGGAGAAGAACTGAGATCACTTGTGCTGTGTGCGATGGACATTTAGGCCATGTTCATAAAGGAGAAGGTTATGCCACTCCAACCGATGAACGCCATTGTGTTAACAGCGTTTCGATCAAGTTTAACCCGGCCAAACCTTCCTCTGTAACCTGAGGACTGGTTGATCGTACAATATCTTCAAAATCAGATCTTGTTGTTTAAGTCTTTGTCTCTCGTAGAATCATCATCATCATCATCATGTAAGGATCAATGCATCAGATAATAAGAATCAATTTGATGTTGAATAATTTATATTAGTATCTATAATTTGATGTTGGATTTGTTTAAAGAATGTATCTATATCCTTGTTATGACGACATTCTATAATTTTCTACCAATCTTTTACGTAATATTTATCACTTTAGTAAGCATGTCAAGTCTAATTTCCACTAACAAAAAGTTTCCACTAAAGAAACCAGATAATATCAAACTAATGAAATAGATAAGCATACTTTGAAAAATAGAGCCCTTTCAATTATTATTGCGTAATACAATTTGCATATATCTTTTTCTCGAAAAGTGGAAGCACGACTCTGTTACTCTGTTGCGCAAACCATACTCTTTTGGCATTCTTCTTTTATGATAATAAGAAGATAAGAAGAATTCGTGTCCTCTTTTCTTTTCTTTTTCTTTTTTTGTTCAAAAGAAGTCGTGTGATGTCTAGTCACAAATCCAGAAACAAGATTAGGTTTCTGATTTAAAAAAAAAACTTGTAATTTTAGGAAATAATATCTGATCTCTTCCCATTAACAATTTTTGTTCCATTCCCTTTGTACTAAACCATATTTCAATTGGGATTTATTTCTATAATATGAAACCGAATTTTGGAAACTGAACCGGGACAGGATTAGGGGACAAATAAGCACCTGTATTATCACGTGCATGAATCATTCACCAACTTTATAGATCAGAGTGGTTCCACATGAATCTAGACGCAAAACTAGAATCATTCATCACTGAAATTTAAGTACAAATATAGATCACTGCAAGAACCTACCAGATCATCATCATCAGACCATTTCCTCCGTTGTAGCTTCTTCGTGGTGATCATGGCGCCGGCTTCTGCGTTGGTGGTCCAAAAAACAGAGGAGGAGTGGCGTGCGGTTCTTTCCCCTGAGCAGTTTCGGATTCTTCGTCAAAAAGGCACTGAGTAAGTTTTCTTGATTTGCATCATATATGTGATCTCTGAAATTATGACATGTTACTTCTTTTGAGATTACTTGGTAATGGTATAATAAAGAAATTGTGGGAATAATAGATTTGATTGAGTCTTTTGACGACCCAAGAATGTCTACGTGGCTTGGCTTTAAAACGATGTTGACTCGTTAATAGATTCAATATGTTAATTAGGCTGCAAGCAACCGTAGAAAGATTATTGGAGATGTAGATCGAACAAATTAGAGGAATTGGACATCTAAGAAATTGCTTCTTGATTTGGTCTCCCATGATGTTTTTTTTTTTTGGAATTTGTTTTTCTTTGTATCCCATATATATAAAGAGTATTGGTAGTTTGTTTGAATTAAAGTGTACGTTAATCATCTCAATGTTCTTAAGGTTTGTATTTTTTGTTGTCCAAAATGTTTCAGAAAGCCGGGAACTGGAGAATATGACAAGTTTTTCGAGGAAGGAATCTTCTCTTGCGTCGGATGCAAGACTCCTCTTTATAAATCAGTAACAAAGTTTGATTCCGGATGTGGCTGGCCAGCTTTCTTTGAAGGACTTCCCGGTGCCATTAACCGAACCGTAATGATTCTGACCTTTTAAATGTTTTTGGTTAAATTTTCATGAATCTTGGTAACTAAAATCTCTTCTTTAATGCTTTCTTGATTTGATTCTATGATATTTACCAGCCTGATCCAGATGGGAGAAGAACTGAGATCACTTGTGCAGCGTGCGATGGACATTTAGGCCATGTTTTCAAAGGAGAAGGTTATGGTACTCCAACCGATGAACGCCATTGCGTTAACAGCGTTTCGATCAGTTTCAACCCTGCAAAACCTTCCTCTGTTATCTGAGGATTGATTGATCGATCATACAACATCTTCTAATTACTCAGATTGTGTTGTTAAAATTGTCATCATGTAGTGAATATGCACTTTCTGTGGTGGACAATGCAACAGATAATAAGACTCATTAGATATTATATTGGATGGTTTCTCTTAATATGTTATAGACATTTAATAAGGATTTTATTATCTAAGGGTCACTAATGTTTCTTACAACTCTTTAGAATTGAAATAAATAGAGATTTTCGTTTTAAAAAAAAAAAATCAAGGCCGATCCATTATACTTTCCACATAATAAATGTGTTGATTTAAGAAAATTATGATGCAAAAAAAAAAAAAAAATTATGATGCGTTTCTATAACAGATGAATTAAGAAAAAAATTATTTCCAATAGTACTAACTGAGAAATCATTGCATAAATTGTATCCTATATCATTATTTTCATAATTGCGTATATTGTCTCGTTTCATATGTTTTTGTGACGTGGAAAAGCACTTGAATAATGTGTTTTTTTTTTTTTTGGTGGGCTGAATAATGTGTTTTTTGATTCACTAGAAATGGTAGTCCCGTTTTCAGGTTGATAGTAATTCATTAGCACGTGACAATATCATCTAGTAATTGCATTAGAAGCATTATTCTCGATCGGTTCGAATTAAACTCTACCTATCTTTTACATACCTACTAATGGTAATGGATATTTTCATTTGGGATATCGACCAATCGAAACCACAATTTTCTAGCTGAGACGGGAACTCAAATTTGGTAGGTATGGAAAAATATATACACGAACATATCTAGAGAGCGTAGTAGAGTGTAATGAATTTCTAATAAATATATGAGTTGTTGAGAAAACAATATTTCAACTACAGTGATAATGAGACGTAGATATACATACATATGGTCCCATGCATGATACAAACGTGTTCGTTGTCTCCTCCATATGACCAATGACCACATACGTTTCAATACGTGTTTTATCTCAATGCCTCACAAACTCCATTTGTATTGTTCCCCACAACTTAATGTTATGTACAAGTTGAAATTAAATTTATAAGTTGAAATGTTATTATGTAGTAAAATGTGAAAAACACATTAATCAATTCAATAGTAGTATAAACAGTATAATATACATGTCTCTCGTTGTCATCAGTCATTACTCATCACTCGGCATCAAAATGCGGAAGCCAAGCCAGCTGTGATTGGTAAGTAAATCTCTATTCACATGCAACACTAATGCATGTGTCAGTAATATGGTCCATGACAATACACATGTGTGATCTAGACGTTCTTGAGTCTTCAAAGGTTTACAGCACAACCATATCTAGTATATTACTAGAAAGAAAGAAAAAAATTGTTATAGCAGTCACCTAAAATAACTTTATGTTAACATTTAGTTAAGAGAATGTGGTTTGTATTAATAGATAGAGAGTTTCTCTTTAAATAGTTTAAAATAATTTAACATGGTTTTCGAATTACGATTTGGGAATTTTCTTTTCTTGATTTGATTATGCTCCGTTTATCCATAAAACATTTGTAAAGCTTTAGTGTCTAGACGAGACGTGACCATTTTAAGTCCATTTTGAATTCGTTTTTAACATTTATCTAGGTGAACTAAATCAATTTCGAATTCTGGTAAGATTGATTGACGCTTCGGTTTTATAGCTAAGATCTCCAAATCGACATGTAAAGACAACGTAAATGTTCAAATGTCTTTTTAGTTTTATTTTTTCTTTTTAAATATCTTAAGATCAAATGTTATCCATATATACCGAAAAAAAAAAGAAAGAGAAAGATAAAACGTTATATTAGGTGTTCAGAAAAAATTAAATAATAGTAGAAGGTTATAACGTAATCCTCACTCAGTCATTCGTTATGTAAACTATCCAGCTAGTGCTGGCTAAAAAATTCACAAATTATATTAAACGTTTTTAATATTAATAATATATATATATATATATATATATATATATATATTGTGAAAATAACAAATAAGCCTATAAAATATAAACAAAATAGTGTTAAATCTATTAGAGAATTTGAGAAATACCTCTTTGGTGTGTCATTTTTTTAAAATGTCTTTTTCAGTTGTCTATTTTAAGAAGTATCCCTTGTTAAATCTGAAATTTAAGTTTTATAATGTTTATAAGATATTTCTAGATGCTAACTACTATTCAGAGACTCAATTCAAGTATTTATAAAGTATTTTATAAGATTTTACTATATATTTATAAGATTTCACAAGATATTTTTAAAATATTTATAAAGTTTTACACGTAATGTAATTTTGTATGTTTTTATAATGATATTCCATTAATAATGAGTTTATTAGAAATTTTAATGTTTTTCTAATTTATATGAAAAATTTCTGAAACGAAAAAGAACAAAACATTAATGGTTTTGAGCTAATAAATTGATTTTTATCATTCAATTGCTTGCAATAAAAGTTAAAAACAAGGTAGTGGAAAACCCCAAAAAAAACCAATGTTAATTATGAGTGTCCGAACTTTTAAAATGGAATCTTTCGCCACGATTCATGATGTTGAGACAAAAAAAGACATAATTTTTAATCTTTTAACCAAAAAGAAAACAGAATTTTTTTAGGGAGACTCACAAAAATGCCCCTTTTTTAATACCCCTTTTCAAAAATGCCTCCTTTGGTTGTCCACTTTTAAAAATACCCCTTTTTATGTACAAAATGACTAAATTACCCTTCTTTTAATAAAAGATATCACAAATATATAAGGAAATATAACAAAATTTGGTCTACAAAATACAAAATATTTTATGGCGGGAAAAGTGATCCCGCAATTTTTCCCGCCAAAACACTTGTAAAAACTTGTAAAACCTTTAAAATACCTTGTAAAATTTTCCCGTAAAATTTTTTCCCGCCAAAAAATTTTTTTTGCGGGAAAAGTGATTCCGCAATTTTTTTGGCGCTAAATTTTTGGCGAGAAAATTTTTCCCGCCAAAAATTTACAAGGTATTTTAAAGGTTTTTTACAAGGTATTTTAAAGGTTTTTTACAAGGTATTTATAAGGTTTTACAATGTATTTTAAAAGGTTTTACAACGTATTTACAAAGTACTTATAAGATATTATAAGATTTTACAAGCTATTTTATAAGGTTTTCACAAGTTATAAGGTTTTACAAGTTTTTTATAAGGTTTTACAAGTTATAAATACCTTATAAAACCTTATAAGTACCTTGTAAAACCTTTTAAAATACATTGTAAAACCTTACAAAACACTTGTAAATACTCTGTAAAACCTTTAAAATACCTTGTAAATTTTTCCCGCCAAAAATTTTCCCGCCAAAAAAATTTCGCAAAAAAAATTGCGGAATCACTTTTCCCGTAAAAAAATTTTTTTTGGCGGGAAAATTTTTTGGCGGGAAAAATTTTTACGGGAAAATTTTACAAGATTTTTTAAAGGTTTTTACAAGTGTTTTGGCGGGAAAATTGCGGGATCACTTTTCCCGCCAAAAAATATTTTGTATTTTGTGGACCTAATTTTGTTTCAAATAAGGGTAAAATGGTCATTAAAAATTAAAAGAGGGCAAACTTAAAAATGGACTCTCAAAGGGGGCATTTTTGAAAAGGGGTATTGAAAAAGGGGCATTTTTAACAATTTCTCATTTTTTTATACCAAGTTCAGTTTTCAATTTTCAACGTGGGGGGGGGGGGGGGGAAGTGTCTCTATTAGAACCAGTGTTCAAGAAAGCGCTAGGCGCTAAGCGGGCGGTGACCTAGCGCCTAGCACCTAGAACGCCTAATCGGGGCCTAGGCGATTTTTTAGGCGGTTTAGACGTTTATAACATAAAACATTATAAACATGATATTATATATAAAAGATATAAAATATCTATATAAAACTAAAAATTATGAAATTATAAACAAAAACTAGATAAAACATTGATTTATATTTATATTAAACAATATATGAATATTTGTAACTATATATATAAATAAAACTCTAATTAAAATTGAAAAAATACACTAAACAAGATCTATATAATTTTAGGCGGTCAAGGCGGTTATCTAGGCGTCGCATGAGAGCCTAGCGATTAGTCGGGGCCTAGGCGACCGCCTAAACCGCTTTTTAGAACACTGATTAGAACCAAAAAAAAAAAAAAATCCAAACGTGCAAAAAATGTCATGAGTTGAAGAAACAAAAAAAAGTGAAAGCTGGTCATGAGTTGGATCTGCGCCTATAAATATACACACATTTCTCGATCCTCCATAGCCAAACCATATTAACATTACTCCAAATTAACCCTTCGTAAGTCTCTCTCTCTCTCTCTCTCAATTATAATGTTTTTGTCTAAAATATAAATTATTTGTAATATAAATAGAAAGTCAAAAAGAAGAAAAACAGTTGTGAGTTTTCACTGCTTAATAATTAAAAATTAATGAACTATAACACTCAATATTTTTGCCGTCGTATCTCAGCCGTAGCAACAAACCGGAGAAATGGAAATGACGGCGGCTCCGGAAGGTGGTTTGATCAAAAAGTCCAACGAGGAGTGGCGTGCGGTTCTATCTCCTGAACAGTTTAAGATTCTTAGGGAGAAAGCTATTGAGTAAACTAGATCCAAACTTTTTTTCTTCTTCCTCTTATTAAATTCTTTTTAGGGATTTTGTTTTCTTATGCCTCACGTTTTAGGTTTGATGAAGTCTTTTTTTTTTTTTTGTTCTTACTGATGATTGTAGGAAGAGAGGGTCAGGAGAGTATGTGAAGTTGTTTGAGGATGGAATCTACTGTTGTGTTGGTTGTGGCAATCCGGTTTATAAATCAACCACTAAATTCGATTCCGGTTGCGGTTGGCCTGCGTTTTTCGATGCTATTCCTGGCGCCATTAACCGAACCGTAAACCTAATATTCTCTTCTTTTCTCTTTTTCTTTTTTATGAGGATTGAATTTTTATTATATATAAAAAAAAACTGGGCATTCTTGCCATTTAAAACGTTTACAATAGCGAAAATGGAAAAAGACTGATTTTCTATAAGAATTTTACGCATATTTAAAACACACAAAATAATAAAGAAATGTGGAGTTAAGTGTAGTTATTTGGTCGAGAAAATGTAATTAAATTCTAACTAATATATACTCATCTAACCAAGGTTATAATTTGTATAATTCGTATGGGGCTGCATGTTTGAGACAGACGACTGACCATATGCTTTTTAGTCTATAAGAAGTTTCGAACAGACAAAAAAATAAGACATAATAGCTAAATCGTGAGTTAGAGTCTAGTAATATTACCATGTTTTGTTTAAGAGTGAAAATAAAATCCTACTAGGTATATATATATATATATATATATATAACAATTATATTGCATGTTGTGAAAGTTTTGATTTACAAGAATTTTAATTTATTTAAAAGATTCGACTATATCTAGATATATCACAAAAATGACATTTTTAGTATATATTAAAATAACAAATATTGTTTTCTAAAGACATGCAAGATTTGAGTTGACTGAATGATAACACAACATCACTACAATAAATAACAACTATACAAAATCATAGTCAATGACATATACTTTATAAACAATAATTTTCAGGAGGAGAGAGCTGGATTAAGATATGAGATCACTTGCACAAAATGTGATGGACATCTTGGTCATGTCTTAAAAAATGAAGGTTTTCCAACACCAACGGACGAACGCCATTGCATCAACAGCGTTGCACTCAAGTTCTCTTCCGCGATTCCGTCTCAGTGATAAACCGATCCGGTTTTGTTCTCCAGAATCAACTCTTTCTATATGAACGTTGATTCCTAAGAGAACTTTCTATACGTACTTCTGTTCTAATGAGAATGTTGTGTGTTTTCATTATGAAAAAGTAATGCTTTATATATGTATCATCTAAATTGTTTGTGAAAAAGAAAAATTGTTTGTGTGATGCTATTTTCTATTGAGTATATATTATCGTATTTAACAAAAATCTATATAGTTATTGTCTAAGTCTGCTAATCATTTGCCATTTGGATACACATCACTAAACAAACGTACACAACTACACATGCATGGATGATGTGACCGAACTATTTTTTGTTTGTTTCTCTTTTGGAGAGAAAATTTTCTCAATTATATTTGGATTGTTAAAATAGGCTGAGTTTGGTGAACACAGATGGATCTTATTCTAATCTTATTGGCACACACGTGAAGAGTTTACCCGCAGGATTTTATTTTTACAAGAAACGAATTTCATGTTTTAAAATATAACTCTGATTAATGCGTTACTACTTAAAAATATATTTTCTTATAATAATTTAATAACTGCAGTTAATTTATTCTAAAATTAATTTATCTGTCCAATTAATTTATATTTTGTTGAGTTATTTCTCTAATTGAAAAAAAAAAAAGTTTTGAAAAATTTGGGTTTTTGTTCTCTAAATAATATAAAAGCTGGTGAACTGCACGGTGAGGCCCAACAGACGGAAAGTTCAGCCCATGAAAGAAAGAAAAACAAAACTTATTTATATATTGACAAATGACACGTGCATAATCAATTTACTAAACCGAACAATAACCGGTTAGCGGTTTAAATGTTAACAACAGAAGAACCGATGATTGTCTTCTTCTACAATCAGAATCTGTCTGTGTGGCTTGTAACGCTTCAATATCAGTGAAAGTCTTCAGATATATCCACAAGATTAATAAAAAAGAATCTTTTATCTCTCTAGACTTGAAAATTTCCCTCCTTTCTCGCTCCCTATACCTGTATGTATATAGAATCGTATATATCTGGAGAAATACACGAGGTGTTCTCGTCTCTGACGACGTGGTCTATTGTCTTCCTTAGCTTTAGTCACAATTTCTTCTTTCGGATTGTTGGTTCTGTAATATTATCCAAAAGTAAAGTTTGAGTCTTTAGGGTTTATGGGTGACAAAAGTAATAGCCTTTAGGCTTTAGTTTTGTGGATTTCATCTTAAAATGGCAATTAGTACTATGTTAGGGTCCATCTCTTGTTGCCCCTCTCCCAAGGTATTTCCTTCTTTCTTCTTCTTCTTCTTTCGCTTACTTGGTTATCTATTGACTGGAAAAACCACTTCTTTATGTGAAAACCATTGTTGAAGAATTCAAAATTATATATTTAAGTTTATGTGCAAAGCCCAAAAATTGAATCTTGGTTCTGATTGCAGGGGTATGAGATAGTTAGACAACACAATGGTCGATTGAAGCATTGTGTTTTCACGGTGAAATCGAGTGTGCCTGTGTATTCGGAAGGCGTAAACGATGGGATTAAGTTGCATTCTTTTGGGAATTTAGTTAAAAGAAGGGTTTTTCTGGATACTTCAAGAAGGTTCTATTTCCAAGGTAGGTGGTCTGAATTCTCAGGGAGGAGAGTGCAGACTTATGCAGGAGTAGATGTAGCAAGTGCTGTTGATGTAATCAACGATCTTGGATTCGATACTTTGACCTTCTTGATGGTCACTGTTATTATTGTCCCTGCATTCAGAGTCCTCAAAGCTAGTCCGGTATAACAAACTGCTACACGGGGTTGCTTGTCGAAAATAAATTCTTGGCGTATAACTTTTGTGTTTTTGATGGTATTCCAGATACTTGGTTTCTTCTTTGCTGGTGTTGTACTCAATCAATTTGGTTTGATCAGAAATCTCACAGATGTTAAAGTTCTTTCGGAATGGGGGATTCTTTTCCTGGTGAGCATTTGATTCATTTTGTTGACACAAAGCTTTATGCGCTGAATAAGGGGTAATGACTGGGCTTGTCCTGATTATCTTTGACAGCTCTTTGAGATGGGTCTAGAGCTTTCACTTGCTCGTCTGAAAGCTCTTGCAAAATTTGCTTTTGGCATGGGACTAACTCAGGTTTGGTCCTAAAAGAAGTTTCTTGGTTTACCTTAAACCGCTTACATTCCTTCCTATATTTTCACTTCTGTCAGATAAGCATCTCAAGAGTCAATGATCTCTACGACCCCATTTCGTTATGAAACTTTATAGACCATATCATTGTGTGCAAAGATGTCATACATCGATTGTTTAACGTTACCTTACGTTGTATTGTTTTACATTGTCCATTTTCCTTATTTCAAAGGTTTTGTTATGCACGGCTGCATTCACTGCTTTTGAACTCCCGCCAAATGGAGCCATAGGAACAAAAATTCTTGAATTCCTCTTTCATTCAAGGTCTGACTTGGTAAGATATTTCACTTGGGGTGTTCTTATGATTCTCTTGCCGTTCCATGTATTTAAAATCTAGCAGACGCCTCTTTTCCCAATGTGATCATGGTCTTGTAACTGTCAATCTCTGATGCTTTTTGTTAGGCTTTTAGAGCTGTATCCTAATATGATCTATACTTTCTGTAAAATTCTAGGTCAACATTAGAAGCATTGATGAGGCCGTTGTCATTGGCGCTGCTCTTTCATTGTCATCCTCAGCTTTTGTTCTACAGGTATTAGCACAGTTGCCCTAACTTTAAATCATATTTCTAGAATGGTAATGAGAAGAGGCAAACTCAATCAACAATTTAGGAAGGCTTATTTTTATTGACAATTTCGAAATGTATAGCTTCTTGCAGAGAAAGGTGAGCTCCCTACAAGATTTGGCTCAGCAACCTTGGGAATTCTTCTTCTACAGGTTCTGCTTATTTTGTATAATTCCTATTTTCTATTCCATCCAAAAATCCATATGTTACGAAAGTAAAGATTTGGGAAAAGAATCTCGATATTTTGGAAATTCACCCAAGATATGCAAAAATCTTGTGCAAACTCCGGAAGTAGACAAACTTTTTCGCTTACGCTCCTCGCATTGCTTGCAGGATATAGCTGTTGTGCCGTTACTCGTCATTCTTCCAGTGTTGGAAAGCCAGGTAACTTGGCTATCACCTTCTTGAGCTTTTGTGGACAGTTTTTTTATAAGAAGATAAAAGCTGCATTAAACTTTTACTAGTATAAAAAACTTGGTGGGGAAAGCATTTGGCCAATTAATTGATACTAGTAAAATCTGTCCACAAAAGATCTTTGCACTTATATCTGAATCTCTGTATATTTGCAAGAATCTTGGTGGGGAAAGCATATGGCCAATGCTTGCAAAAGAAAGTGCAAAGGCTCTTGGTGGGTTGGGCATCCTCTCTCTTGGAGGAAAGTTCTTTCTCCGTAGAATTTTTGAGGTAACTTATTTCGTGTCCTTATAGTTTTACAAAACCCTTTCCTTTTTTAGTGAGTGAAAACAGGACACTGTTTTATTTGGTGCAGAGCTTAACACTAAGCCCCAAATAATATTCAGGTTGTTGCAGAAACCAGAAGCTCAGAAGCTTTTGTGGCCCTTTGCCTTCTCACAGTTGCTGGGACTTCACTCGTGACTCAATGGCTTGGTTTCAGCGATACGGTTTGAATTAATTTCCCTTCAAATAAAAATTCCATCTAATATCCTCACCCTGATGTCCTAACTCAACTTACTCTGAAGCTTGGAGCTTTTCTTGCCGGAGCACTTCTAGCGGAAACAAATTTCCGGACACAAATCGAAGCTGATATTAGGCCATTTAGAGGTTTACTTCTTGGTTTGTTCTTTGTAACCACAGGAACATCCATTGACATGGAGGTAAAGTGTTCTATTGCATTGCATAAGAACTCAGTTGTTTCCGCTGAAAAATATGATACATTTCATGTTCATGCTCATGTGGTTAAAATATTTTGCAGGTTCTGTTTCGTGAATGGCCTAATGTCCTCTCACTCTTGGGTGGTCTGATTGTGATCAAAACACTGATTATAACCGCAATCGGTCCCCGAGTTGGCCTCACAATACAAGAAAGCGTAAGAGTTGGTTTTCTTCTTTCCCAGGGAGGGGAATTTGCATTTGTTGTGTTCTCTCTAGCCAACAGGTTTTTCTAACTGCCAATATTATTGCTCAAACATCTCCAAAAAGATTTCGATAGTTTCGACATTTTCCTTACTAATTAGGTGGTCATGATTGTTACAATCATTTGTGCAGGCTAGGAGTGCTTCCAAATGAGCTGAACAAGCTGCTCATTATCGTAGTTGTTTTGTCTATGGCATTAACACCTTATCTTAACCAACTTGGAAGAAAAGCCGCCGATTTTCTTGATGAGAGACTTGATCCTGGAGATGTAACCTTTAAATTTCTAGCTCTGCACTTATATGAAAAATAAGATTTGCATTCATCACGAACCTGTTGACAATTCTGCAGAAAATAGACGAAAATGTGAACTTCGACGTTAGTGAATCAATTGTCATCATTGGATTTGGACAAATGGGTCAGGTAAAAGTCATCATTTGCCTTCCTGTAAAAGTTGTGCTAAGTGGTTTCTTACCGAGTCGATATGATTTCGCAGGTTCTTGCCAATTTTTTGTCAACTCCTTTGGTCTCAGATAGTGATCTTGTGGGATGGCCTTATATTGGTTTTGATCTGAATCCTGCTGTAGTGAAGGTCTGAAACAGATAACAGATTTTGTTTGTTCCTGATCTGATCAAATTGTTGTTGACATTCTAAACTTGTTTTTTTACTTTATGTTGCTTTTTGGTAGGAGTCAAGAAAACTCGGTTTCCCGATATTGTATGGAGACGGATCTCGACCATCGGTTTTGCAATCTGCAGGTGTTTCATCTCCTAAAGCTATCATGATAATGTATAAAGGCAAGAAGAGAACCACTGAGGCTGTTCAAAGACTCCGTCTTGCCTTCCCCGGGGTTATTTCTCTCTTCCTTCTTCCTTTATCAATTTAAACCTGATCTGATTGGTAAAACTGCCGAATCGCGGCAAATGTCCTTTGGAATAAAAAAATCATTCCGCCATTCTGCGGTTCTGCAGTTTACCAATCTTTTGAAACATCAAGTTAAGTGGCAACAACTGTTAGATTTGGACCTAAATCTTTTAACTTATTACCAGAGTCCGATTTACGCAAGAGCTCAAGATTTACCGCATCTACTTGAACTAAAGAAAGCAGGAGCCACGGATGCAATTCTCGAAAATGCAGAGGTAAACTTCAAAAACAGTTCTCTTTTTTGATCACACTGAGATTTCTTTCTGAACGAGTTTGTTTTGTTTCGGTTTACAGACAAGTTTACAGCTCGGTTCGAAGCTGTTGACAGGATTTGGAGTAATGTCTGACGACGTAAGCTTTCTGAGTAAAGTTTTCAGAGATTCAATGGAGATACAAGCCCAAGAAGAAATCACTGCTAGTGAAACCAATGCTGGTTTGAAGCCAATGCAGATGAAAGCTTCTGATATAAACGTAGAGACTGGTGCACAACAAGTCCAGCTCATGAAGCCAATGCAAATGAAAGCTTCTGATTCAAACTCAGATTCTGCAGCAGAAATTCTTCAAGAAACAGATAGTTTGAGTCAGTCTCAGATTGATGATTCTTCTGTGAATGTAGATAATGGATTTGTTGGTAAAGCGGATAAAGCTCAAGAGTAAAAATTCTCAAATATATAACTTTTTTTTCCTGAAATGTGCAGCCAATCTTCCAAACTAAAAAATATTTCTATTTTTTTTTTCTGTGATTGTTATGTATATTTTTTTGGGTTTGTTTGGAAACTAGTACGTTTCTAAAACATAATTGTAGAAGTAGTACGGTTACTATTTACAATTGTAGAAGTAGTACGGTGGGACCGGTTGTGAGATATAGAATTGTGAGATAGAAATATTAGTGGGTTTTAGAAAAGACCAAAAAGGGCTTTTCTTTGTCTCTCAGAAAAAAAAAAAAAACGTGGGTGTGAGAAAGAGAGAGAGACGTGGGTCAGGCTTTTTAAAAAGATTTCTTTTTCTTTCTTTATTACATTACATTCCTTCAAAGTTTAATAATTAAAATGCTCGTTCGTAAATTTTATTTTTGTAAAATAGATCATATACATAAAAATCTATGTTTTTTTCTCTATCATTTGATATGCATTTTGTTTGATGATTTTTAATTTTATATTACAGACCACTGTACAGATGTAGACCACTGTACAGATGTAGACCACTGTACAGATGTAGACCACTGTACAAATATAAACCACTGTACAGATGTAGACCACTGTACAGATGTAAACCAATGTACAGATGTAGACCACTGTACATATATACACCACTGTACTATTATTATGTGGTTGAATATCCTATTTTCTTAGAACAAGTCTTGCATTTCTTTTTGTTTCTTCTCAATTAATTATGTTGGTAATATGCAGAGATCACAAAACAAAAAAAAGCGGAGGCAAAGTCTAGAAAGGATTGAGCTACATTGTCAATGCTGTAAGTTTTGCCTTCTAGTCTCTTAACCGTGTAATCATTATTAGATAGTTTCAGTTATAGCAACAAAGAGCAACAACTACTTGGAGACGCTCTTCTTGTATCTTGCTCTCCTTAACTATATTGTACAAATCGAACTATCCCTCCATCAAATACATCGTACAAATCAAACTAACTATCCGCCAAATGTACCGTACAGATCGACTATCCATCCGCCAAATATACCGTACAGATCGACTATCCGTCCGCCAAATATACCGTACAGATCGACATCCGTCCGCCAAATATACCGTACAGATCGACTATCCGTCCGCCAAATATACCGTACAGATCGACTATCCGTCCGCCAAAAATACCGTACAGATCGACATCCGTCCGCCAAATGTACCGTACAGATCGACATTCGTCCGCCAAATGTACCGTACAGATCGACTATCCGTCCGGTAAATATATTGTACAGATCAAACTATCCGTCCGGCAAATATATTGTACAGATCAAACTATCTGTCCGGCAGATATATCATACATATAAAATTGTCCACATATCCATCATTTTGGGTATTGAATATGCCCAAAATGATCTGTACGGTATCATTTTAGAAGATTTTAGAAGATTTATAATATGCCAAAATATCTGCTAGCTTATTGCTCTTTTTTTAAGTCAAAATAAACTTAAATACTGTATAAAAATATGCATCCACTTTTATGAATATACAAGAGTAAATGAATGTTACAAATCACATCAAACAATTGTTGGAGAAACTATATAGTGAGTTTGGTCTTTAGAGAGTTTGATTAGTACACTAATATACATATACAGATAGTTAACAACCGTTCACTGTAAGAACTGTACAGATTAGTATCCGTACATTAGAATATATGTACAGATAGTTAACAACTATACATTCAAACAACTATACAAAGAGTTTGATATGTACAGATATCTAACAATCGTTCACTGTAACAACTGTACAGATTAGTATCCGTACATTAGAATATCTGTACAGATAGTTAACAACTGTACAGAGAGTTTGATCTGTACACTAATATACATATACAGATAGTTAACAACCGTTCACTGTAACAACTGTACAGATTAGTATTTGTACATCAAAATATTTGTACAGATTGTTAACAACTATACATTCAAAAAACTGTACAAAGAGTTTGATCTATACACTAATATACATATACAAATAGTTAACAACCACAGCATTACTCAAAGAATCCGAGAAATTCAAGATCCTGCACGCAACACCACAGAACCTATTCCTCTCCACATCCCAAGTTCCCTCTGCAACCAAACTGGTTCTCGGATCAAATGGAAACAACCTGCTATAACTACTTATGTTACTAAATGACAAAAGCAGTCGCATCCTCTCCCCGTCACAAAGAAACGATAACATCGACATAAAACCCGGTGTGTACTCTACATCACTTCCAAAAGGACTACAACTATGGTTAATCCCACAACCAGTTCTATACATCAAACCAAACACATGAGGAGATTTGTGAGTTTCATTGGTGATAAAGTTTTTGGTGTTTGGGGATAAGAAAATTTTGCTAAAGAAAATTACAAGAAATAAAATGCTAGAAATGTTTTTTTTTTGTTTTGTTTTGTTGTTGTTTATTCACTTGGATGATCTCTGTAGGCCAAAATGTTAGATTACCCGCAAGTTTACATGTGAAAACATTAATGGTGTTAATAACGCGACAAAAATATCATTGTATTATAACATCTTGATTATATAGAAAAAGTCAGTATAATTGCACGTATTTGATACGCTTAAATGTATGCACACATTAACTACACCGGTGTGACCACAAAGTAAGTTTAACTACACATTTAATACTCAAACTTGCATAGCGTCTTTAACTAGGATGCTAGACATATGAATTGATTATTCATCGTCTTTTACTATGATGCTTTGATAGAGGATTATAAATAAAATATGTATAATGTACTATATAATATTAATTCGGGTCCAAAGATAACTTTTGTGCTGCCTACCACCACAGCCATTTTTATGCTTCATATGAATTGTTATTGTCACATTATTTGTCTGTACATTTTTACCCTTTGCGGGTCACTCAATCTGATCCCTTTCACCAAAGCGTAAGTCTAAACTCTGGCCAAAATCGCCGCCGTAATAAGAAGAAAAAGCTGAGGTTTTTGAGATTTGTAAAGTCAATTTGGCTTCAACCTTGTAAATCTTCCCATCACCCAACGTTTTGCGGATTGACATGGGTCTGAATCTAGCTGATTTAACATCACCATTCTGTGATTGATACCGATTGAAGAAAGGGTCGCCGCCGGAGAAGAAGCTGACATCGAAAGCAAGTGACGCACGGCTGAATACGGCGGAGGGAGATGGGTCGATCGGAGACTCTGGAACTATGTGGTTGCAGTGATCGGAATAAGGGACTCGTGGGGATATGTAAGAGTGAGGATTCACTAAGGATGCAAGGGTGAGTGAAGTTGCAGAGGTGGTCAGAAAGAGGAGGAAGAAGAGAAAAGGGTATGATTGTAAATAAAGGAATATTGAAGGGTAGTTTGAAGATGAAGAAGGCGGCCAAAAAGTCGCCATTGTTACGGAGCAAGTGAAGAACTTTTACATGCTCTGTTTGGATAATCAAAGAAAATTTCGTAAAAGAATCATAATCAAAAACAAGTGTGTATGAGAGAGATAAAAATTAATTTATGAGCCCAGAATTGCAACTCTTTGATTATCCAAACAAACATTGAAAATGAGGGTTTGAGGAAGAGATGAGAAGAGACGAAGGCGAAGAGAGTAAAAAAAAAAAAATTAAAAAGGAAACAAATAATATCTAATTGTAATGGCATGATCGTAAATAATATGGGTTGGTGAGGGTGTGAAAGTCAGCCAAATAGTGTAGCACAGTGAAAGGTGGGGATTTTGATAATTGTGAATAGTGCTCGTACTACTTTGCCTATTATGTTTCATAAATGTACTAGTTTGCAACATATTCCTATTTTTTTCAAGATCACTGTTACTAAAAAGTCAATTTTTAGCTCAAATTCAGTGTTGGTCTTTGCATATGAAATTGTTTCAATGAATTCCAATAGATTTGAGTATCTTACTAAAAACAAAAGTTCAATTTATAGTACAAAATTTTGTACTCCACAAATGAAATGTTATAAAAATGTAGATTTTCAAGATGATAAAACATTAAAAATTTAACGTTAAATACTTGATCAAATTAAGTACTTAGTTAGGATTTAGTTCTGATTTCATAACAAAAAAAAACAAAAAAAATTCGTCGAAAAAAAACTAAATAAAATACAAAAAAACGAAATAATTATTTTTAAATATGTAAATTAAAAACTAAAGAAATTTGGTTCTATTGATTGAACAAAATTCGGTTTGGTTCAAAGTTATATGAACGTGATACCATTTTCAAGTATAAGGCTGACGTCATTAGCCTCTTCCGATTGGGTAGTGTAATCGACGCGCTTACTGATTCGTCTTACTCTTGTCAAAATTAAACAAATATCGCAAATGTCAAACTATTTATTTACACATTTAAATTTCTGTATATACAAACAAACGAAGACGACGAATCTCTCACTTTCGATTCGTTTCTAAGTTGTGCGTAGTTGAAATTTGAAATCTCATTCCAAACCTTTGAAGAAGAAGCTTTCATAGATTTCCGTTGGGTTCTAGGGTTTCGTTACGATTGATTTTTTGCTGTGTTTTTGATTGATCGGATCGATTGCGATTACGGAGGAGGAAGAGAAGAAGATATGGCTCAGGCTGTAGAAGAATGGTACAAACAGATGCCGATTATCACTCGCTCATATCTCACGGCGGCTGTTATCACCACCGTCGGATGTTCCCTCGATGTATGTGCTTTTTGGGGTTCTCTCTTTTTTTTTTTTGCTGGATTTCTAAAGCTTTTGATTTTTGTTTCTGTTCGGAAATGTTTCTTTGTTCAAATTCGAAGCTGATTATCTCTTTTTTAAGCTGACATGAATTAGGGTTTCATATTCTGATTGTTTTGTTTTGCAGATTATATCTCCATATAACCTCTATTTGAATCCGACACTTGTGGTGAAGCAATACCAATATTGGCGTCTCGTTACAAATTTCTTGTATTTCCGGAAGATGGGTAATTTCCCTTAGACTCTAAGAAACTGGATACAACATTTGTCTTATGAGACAAGTTCGTCTTTTTTGTCTTCAGAACTGATTTAGAATGCTTATGAGTTATGAATTATATAGTTCATATGAAGTTCTTGCTAGATGTACTAGTAAATTGCCTTATAGTCATGATTCATCGATGTAGACAAACTCACATAACTGCTGAGTAGTAATTCTTTGGTTTTTGAAAGTTCTCTTTTTCACTTGTAGAAAACTTGAGATGTGTAAAAGCTAAAGGGTTGAGTTGAATCTTTCCGCATCACCTGCTTGACTGTTTTTTTTTTCTTGTCACATCATTAGCTTTAGGCAGACAATGTTTAGCTGCTACTTGTTAATAGCGTTTTGATTGATTGATTGTGTATTTTAATTGCCTAGTTTGCTTTTGCTTATAATCAAATATGTCTTTGTCTTTTGGGGTTTTGCAGATTTGGACTTCATGTTCCATATGTTCTTTCTCGCACGATACTGCAAACTCCTTGAAGAAAACTCATTCAGGGGAAAGACTGCTGATTTCCTATACATGCTCCTGTTTGGAGCTTCTGTTCTAACCGGTATTGTTCTAATCGGCGGAATGATACCGTACTTGTCTGCATCATTTGCTAAAATCATCTTCCTCAGCAACTCATTAACTTTCATGATGGTTGGTAACTTCTATCACACCTTGTTTCCCACAAATCTAAGTCATCTCTAAATATCAGCTAATAGTCTCTTATGTTCCACAGGTATATGTATGGAGCAAACAAAATCCGTATATTCACATGAGTTTCCTTGGTCTGTTCACCTTCACAGCAGCTTACCTACCATGGGTGAGTTTAACTTTCTTGCTCCTCTCCTTTCCCTAAACTTCCACCGGAATGAAACATCTTTTACAAATTCTGGCCCTGCAGGTGCTTCTTGGCTTCTCTATCCTTGTTGGTGCCAGTGCTTGGGTGGATCTTTTGGTATATACTCAATTATCCCAAAATTTCTTCTCCAATCTCTTTTGATCTTTGGTCCCCCAAATAAACTGAGTCTATCCAAAACATTTCAGGGTATGATAGCAGGTCACGCGTACTACTTTCTGGCTGAGGTCTATCCACGAATGACTAATCGTCATCCTTTAAAGACTCCATCGTTCCTCAAAGCCCTATTTGCAGATGAACCAGTTGTGGTTGCACGGCCGGAAAATGTGAGGTTTGCTGCTGCGCCTTTTGATGAAATCCACCAAGACTGAGTCTGATCTTACACATTTCGGTTTGGAACTCTCAGTTTGGCTTGTTGATCATATATATATGGTAAAAAGGCAGATGATACACAAAGTCTATTAACTCTGACACGCTAGTTGTGAAACCCACACACACTAGTTTCTCTAGTAGTTGGGTGTGTTTTGGTTCCTTCCCTTTTCTCCCATCTCTTTATCTTGTTGTGTATACAAATTTGCTTTGCTCTTAGTGGTTATGGATATGGACACTCAAATTGTACACAGCTTCCAGAAATGTCGCAATGTTTCAGGTCAAGGTTCTTTGTTTTAGCAAGAGATGTTTTACATTCACTACGGGACTCGAATATCAGAACAAATGTTTCTCTTCTGGTCTGTTTCCATCACTCCTCCAATCGAAGTTCAAGTAAAAAACTTTGCTTAATCATTCTCTCTCGAATCAGGGTGGTGATGAGAGAGATCAAAGATTCGAGGTACGCAAAGTGCCCAGAAGTCACTTCATTTTCCTACAAATTCGATTTATAGATCACCCAACTTCAGAATTATTTTTACCAGAAGATCGGAAGAAAAGAAAATTACGAGAAGCCTATTTTTTTGTACAAGAAAAAGCCAAGACATCGTTTTTCAAATGTTAAACTAGTTCTTCCTTTCTCGCTTTCTCTATATTTAAGTTTGCAGTGAAAAAAATGAGAGCTGCGTATTCCGGAAAACAACAACACATGTTCAAGCTTCTTTCGGTATGGGCTGTCGTGTGAAGTTAATAAATGTCTGGAACTATGATCTCTTAATCATAGAGATAGGTGTCTTCTTCCAGTATTGTACTCCATAAGCTGCAGTTGAAGCCATAGTCGTCGAAGCAACTAACCAGCTGGATACAAAACAAATAAGACCAATAACAAGATTTCAGAGAACACACTTCATATGTTTATAACTTGCAGTTAGTTAATACAGAATGTGTGGTAATTTAAACAAAATCAATTAGTGATCCATATTACCTTAGATAAGTGATCCATGTCTGGGTATCTGCATTCCCAAACTCGGGTTGAAGTATTGCACCAGCGACTAGAGCCAACTGGAAAACTGTATTCACCTGTCAATAAACATGTTCCATTAACGAACTAGTTACGCATACCAAAGATGCCAAGATGAGAACAAGCTGTCACCTAGAGATCATACCTTGCTTATAAACAATGGTTCTACTTTCTGAGGGCTTGAACCATCGAGGTTGAAGAAGTCACTCCAATTTTTCCACTGAAAGAAACAAAAACAATATGATTCCCATCAATAACTTCAGTTCGTGTTTTTGTTAAAGCATATGGTCGAGCGGGGGAAAAATGTAGGGAAACAAGAGAAAATAGTTGAGTGGTCTATCTAGCTCAAAGTTACAAAATTCACCTTCCAGTCCAAGTTTAATGCCCTTAGGTAAACTGCACCACCAACGAGTGCAACATCCCGTAACAACACAATTGCAACCAGTCCAGCTTTAGAGCACAAATGTCACATGCATCCACCAAAATTGAGTTTAGTATCAAAGATTTTTAAGAAGTAACACACACAGCTAAGTTTAGCAACTAGTTAGTTAACTTAGTACAGTTTCCTCTTGATACATCCATGCAATCTTTTAAGGAGGTTTGTTCATGGAGATCAAATGACTGAAATAAAGGTACGACAACTCTGATGCATTCCTCAGGTGATCACTACATTTTCCTTATAAGAAAAATTTCCGCCCTCCAACTTTGTCAACTCTAGATATGTCAAAATTTCTGCTAACTTATTATCTACTAGGAGCAGAAGAGGTAGAAGAATACTCACGATGTAAGAGATCCTTCTGCACCATTGCTACTGCGACACATCCGATAAGAACCTGAAATTAACACGAGTATAATCAAGAAAACTGAGGTGAAATGAAACTCACACATGTTTCCCGCTTAAAACTAACCTGAATTTCAGAGAACATCCACAATGAGACAGCAAAAGAAAACACATAATAGATGATAAAGACTTTACCTTGTCTGCAAGAGGATCGAGGTAAGAGCCAACCACAGAATCAATCTTCATCCTCCTAGCCATGTAACCATCTAACTAAAAAATCAAGTGTCTATTAAAACAATGTTCTTCTTCCCAATACTACAAAAAAAGAATCACAAAGAAGATGCATACCCAATCACTAGCTCCAGAAACAGCCAACCCTAAGAAAGCAGAAGAATACATCTCATTCGAAATCATCCTACAATACCACCACAATCAAGTTTCAGATTCTTCACTCCCTAATACATTTTTTCCTGAGAAAGAGATACTTCAATACTTACCACCAAAGCACAGGACCAGATACTAATCTTGCCATTGATATCAAATTAGGCACATTGACAAAACTCTTGATTATTCCACCATTTTCTTCCTCTGAATCGTTGCGATCCACCGTCACTACGTTTGGTACTACAGACTGTAACCCTAACTGTCTCGGAAACCTAGTTCTGTTTCTAATTCGATCCAATCTGAGATTCAGAGCTTCGACCTTCTTCAAAACAGCGCCGTTTCCTCGCCAATGCAAAGGTGTAGCAGACTGAAGCAGTTTCCAAGGAGGAGAAGAGAGGAAGAGAGGTCCATGAAGAGGAACGAACCATTTCGAGAGCGGAGATAAACGATGTGAGAAATGTGGGAACAACGGCGAAAACTGCGGTGGGATCAGAGAAACGGTTCCGCCGGAAGGCGATGAAGCGGTGGCGGCGGTGAAGAATGGTCTAGTTTTCCGGTGATTGATTTCAATTAGCTTTCTCAGAGATCTATAAATCGCCATTGATCAACATTCAACAAAGCTTCGTCTTCCTCATTTATTTAATTTTGTTTAATTGGAATTCGAATTTTGTTTAGTTCCTTTAAACACTGTCAAGGAGGAAGATGAATCAGTAATCACAGAGGCGACTAGGTTTACGCTGTTTGAGAGTTTTGATTTGTGCCACGTGTAATCTTCATGAAACACGTGGAAGCTTTGTGAAACGTGGCATGACCAGCTGATGATATATCATACACCATTACCGAACCGGGATATAAACCGGAATAAAGAAATTGAGGTAACGTTCAGTTTCTTTTGTGGTTTGGAATAAGGAAATTGGTTTTCTAGATTATTGGTTCAGCGAATGTTACCGGTTTCGGTTTGGTTCGGCACATATTGACTAAATTCAATTCGGTTTGTAAGTTATCAGCATTTTGATAAACATAGTAGTGAAAATAATGAAAAGCTAAATTAAAAATAACGTAACAATCGAATTCTGAGACGAATGTAATTCATTTAACCAACCAATGAACCAAAACACCTTTTGTCCGGTTTTGTATATAAACCCAACCAAATCAAGTAAACCGGTAAAAAAATCTGAAGCACTAAGCATACTCTGGCGAGGCTGAATCAAAAATCAACCAAAGTTGTTGCTTAACTTCATCTTCTGCAAACGTTGCGTCTATGGCTGTTCTAGCCAATGCAAAGGTTTCTCTTTTACCAAGACCTTCATAGGAGAAACAAAATTAGATTCTTTGAAAATGTAGATTCTTTGTGAATGTAAACTTAATCACCAGACTCAAAAATCAGAAAATCAGAAAAGCTTTGGAACTGTTGGATTTGAGCTTAGGTTCTGAAACTCACCAAAGGAACCAACAGCGAGAGCGTACTCATTGGAGAGGCTAGTGGAGAATACTCCAAAATCATCAGTGCATAGAATCAATGGATGCTTGGCATTGTAGAGATCAGCTATAAGATCAAGATTAATGTCATGTCAATATCCGGGGTTTGATTTTGGCTTCATGCATCGAAAAATGAAAAAGGAGGGTGTGAAATGAAAGCAGGGGAAAGAGAAAATCTAACCGAAATGGTGGATATCGATGGAAGATATCGATTTGGTTATGATGTTGGATGTTAAACATATTTCAACCTGCAAAAAAATAGCGGAATGTCGAATTATTTAGAATATTGTTATTAGATCATATGCGAGTGAAACTAAGAACATTGTAAAATGTAAATGTAAGCTATTACCGGAATCCGGAAAGATTTCAACTTTGTCCAATCTTCATCTTTGAAGAAACAAGCATGGCCAATTCGATGCGGTTTAAAATCAAGCATGGTTTGGATCTCTTTCGGATTGGGGACCTACAAAGCACTAAGATAGAGCAAGTAGTAGACAAACTAAAGAAAAACATTTGAAAATCGTTTAGTGGATTTTCAAAAGTTAATACCTCTCCACAGTGAAGAGTGATGTGAAGATCATTGTCTTTCGCGAATTGTAATGCAGGCAAGAAAGTGCTCCTACAAGAACATGGAAGATCTCAGAAGCAAATAGTAGAGCGACGCAAAGAACAAAGAAGAAAGTTACAAAAAAAGATTACCATTCTCCAACAAGAGGATTCCCTGAAAGATCGATACCAACAACCCCGACATCTCTCATTTCCAATGCGAGCTTAACCTTTAAAAAAAAAAAAGGAGAAGGTCAAATGTTTTCTGCATTACTCTTTTATGTTTTCGAGTAGCTAAGCTTGTTTTCAAATACTTACAGTTTCCATTGCGGACTCTGTTGTTTCTCTACGATCAATACTAAGAAGAAGTCTAACATAAATCTTCTTTCTTTCAATTCCATCACACGCATTGAGCAGTTTTTGAGAATCAGATGCCGTAACAAAATCAATATCGACTTCACTGACAGATCTCAGACCTAGGATTACCGCATCCATGTAAGACCGTTTACTCATACCTATCGAATCATTCCTCTACAAACAAACAATCTCCATTATTCATATAACTTAAAACACTTTCAAAAATATGCCAAATTGTGTACCTTTGGAGTTGTTCTTAACTCGAGATACACCACATTCTCTAAAGCAAAATCTTCTACAACCTGTCAAGATAAGATTATCAGTCAAGTCTCTTGATTTACTAATACGAAACTAAGTAACGGAAATTGAAATCAGGGTTTTACTTCTCTAGTGATCCTTGACACGGTTTTGTGATCAGTAGTGATCTTATGGATCAAATCAAACAACTTGAAGACTTCAACCAAAGATCGATCATCTAAAAAAACGATTATACATACCAAATATGAGAAACTAATTGTGACACTTGAGTAGACTAAAACTAAGCAAAATATAGAACAACGAATTTAAAGACTCTTACTTTTTCGAATGACATGTTCAACATCAGCAAACACAATAACACCTTTCTCACCAAGAACCCTAGCAAGCTCTCTGGTTCATCAAAAGAAACAAAACCCATCATTTCAAACATCGAATTGGGTAAATTACTAATTGATCAGTGCAATTGCAGAAGTTGCAGATACGAAAGATAAGAGATAAGGAACAAAAGTCGTAAGAAAGAAGAAGATAATTTTGAGGGATTTACAGAAGAGTAGAGTCTCTAATGGAGCCGTTGAGATGAGCATGAAGCTCGACTTTGGGCATTGATTTTATCCATTCCATTTTTTTTTCCTCCAAAAGAAGAGAAAAAACAGAGTACGGATTAGGAAGACAAACAGAGACACAAGTTGACCTGTAAAGAAGAAAAGAGGCGTGTAAATTTTATCAGTTCAAAGAAAAAAAAAATTATCAGTTCAGTAAAAAAAAAAATCAGAACAGTTTTGAGCCCAAAAACTTCGTTTCCTTACGGGCCCATACATACATTAGACCGGCGACACAAAAACTTAGCAAAGCTTTTTTGTTTTTTTTCTCTGATTCAGAAAGATTACAATACATGAAGAGATTAAATTACAGAAAAACACAATGTTCGAACTTCGACCCATAATCTATAACAAGATGAGGAAAGAAGATTTCGATAATACAATACAAAAAAATCAAACTAATTTTGTTTCAAGACTAAGTAAGCTCTGGAAACTCACCATAAGACTTTCCGCACAACAATTTATGAAGACGTGCTTCAACACTTGCGGCAATAACAAGATAGTGGAACTTGGTTTTCTCTGTGAAGATGCATCTTTTTCAATGAATGCCTTGTCACGGATCTTTCGGATGAACGGTAAGATAAACTAGAATCACAATACCTTTCAACACCACAACTAACAAGTATTAAAGTCAACCAAAGCTTAATACTACGGAATAAAACTCCGAATTGAAACATAGAACTCAACCCCAACCTAACATCGAGTAAATTAGTCGAGGAGGAGAAACGGAAGCCCAAACAAGAGAGAAGATAGCCCAAAAGAGGTCTCTAAAAACCTCTTTTTCGACGTTTTTGATCGTTCGTTGTCGATTCAATTCGGTTATTTTTCTCCACGATTAACTTATTGAAGAAAAAAAAATTAGCAAAGCTACAATAATGAAAATTTTCAAAATATACCACCAATTCATTTTAAATGTATTTTTTTTTGGATACATAGAAAAACGAAAGCAACAATCGAAAGCAAAATTTATATTTTAATTTATTTAATTTTTTAAAAATTGTTTTGCGAAATTTGAGGAAAAAGAATACTGTAAACTTCAAAAGGCTGTTTAAAGTGGGCATAAATGAATCCTACTGATCTTATGTTAAATCTCATTACGCAAACAAGCTGCTTCTTTGAACATTACCACTCATCTTCATCTTCTTCTTCTTCATCATCTTCTTCTTCATCATCTTCTTCATCTTCATCATCTTCGACTTCATAATCTTCATCATCATCATCTTCTTCTTCTTCGAGATGAACATCCTCGGTCTCTTTCCCTTTTACAAGATAACACAAACATGGTGTCAGAAAAATAATATAAAGACATCATGAACACGTTTAACTAAACCCTATACTTCCCAAAAGTCAAAGAGATACTACAGAAATAAGTAAGCCAAGCAAATATTTTACATAAGCCAAGCATAATCCAAATGTGTTATGTACCTGATACTTGAGGTGGAGGCTGCTCAATGACCGGAGGAAGCAATGTTGGAACGCCAGAACCTTCCGGCCAAGCTGATAACTCCGGAACAGGGGAAAATGTAGCCGCGTACGTTTTGTGATACCGTTCAATAGTGTAACAGTCGTCTACATACTGCAACGGGTTGATATTCAGCTCATTACAGACTGCTAGAGCGTGCAGACATGGGAACTTGTTCCTTTGAAACTCTCCACAAGTGCAAGTTGACTCATTCAACTGAACAATCCCTTCGAAGTTGACCTGATATGCATCTCCTTCGAAGAGCGTTATAACCCAAGTAGCAGAACCTTTCATGAACTCTTCAAGCTTTTTCATGACATGTTCTGTGTACACATCACCGCGGTTAAGAAAACCTCGGCTACGGCTAAAAGACTCGTCAAAAGCGTCTCTCAGCTCATCAAACAGAATCATCACACCCCCTGCCATTGCAACTTTAGGAAATCTTTTACAAACAGCAAAGAGAGCTTAAATATCTATCTTCATGATTCCGTATCTCCGATGACCACTGTCATGAGCTAGAGCCCATTGATGTGGAGGGATTTGGTCTAACAATTTCCAAGCTTCTGGATTATTGTCTTTGATCTTCTTCATGTAGGAATCAAATTCTTCATTCTTACTTGACAAACCAGCCTGCTCCACAAGAAACTCCATATTGTGGTCGTAGCCTGGAGAAACGCCACAGATGATCCAGACAGAACCTGTGATAAGCCCAAGGCTCTTTCCACTGAGACCCGGGCTCGTTAATAACAGCGAGAATGTCGGGGTCGGGACTGGAGATGAGGCAAATGCCTTGCCTCTGTGTTACCTTTTCTCTGATTTTAGTGAGAAACCAACGCCAACTATCAATGGATACTTCTTTAGTAACCGCAAAGGCAAGCGGAAAAAAATGATTGGCTGCATCAAACGCAGAGGCAATCATCAAGTTCATTTTGTATTTACCGCCCAAGTTTTTAGTGTCCACAACGATCAGAGGTCTACAATGTTGGAACCCTTGGATAGACTGTGAAAATGCCCAAAACACACCGCGAAAGGAAGCTTGTTCAGGATTAGGCAAAGAATCATATTGCCAGTCCACAAGCAGGCCATTAGAAGAGTGAAGCACAGACATTAACTTAGGTATGCACCTGAAACTCTGATCCCAATCTCCAAAGAGTCCTTTGATAGCTTTCTCTTTCGCATCATGCAAAAGTCCTTCCGCACAATGCTCCACCACTCTATCAAGTGCATAGCCGAATTTTTCTTTCCACAACTTACCCAACTCTGTAGTTGAGAGCATTGGTTGTACCCTGACCACACGTTCAATCTCACATTCTAAAAACTCGACTTCAAAATCTTGTGAAGAATAGTTAAGTCGACAAGTATGTGGACCACTACACTTGGTTATCTCAAAAAGACCGCCTTCTTCAATTCTAGAAGCACAAATTGACCACTTGCATTGCCATCTTACACACTCAAACACATACATGTCCTTGTCTGTCTCTCTTAGTAAACATTTATGCTGCCTCTTAATGGACCACCAGTCCACTGCCTTCTTCAGCTCATCTATATCTTTGAAACACAATCCAACACGCATTGTATTATCTTCAAGCCACAAACCAGATGTGCTCTTCTGCCTTTTACAGGGATTTTCCATTGGTGATGATCACAACAAAACCTACAAGAAAATACTTAAGTTAAAAAAAACCCTAGAAATCACAAAAAAAAAAAACCCTAGAAAGCTCTATGAGAATTGAGAAACGACACTGAGAAAACCCTAGAAAGCTCCATATCAAACGATACTATCACTATCATTCAAAAAAAGTAAACTCAAAACAATGAACATCAAACAACGGACTTGTAAAACCTTTGCTTGTTTTTCAGAAATGAAAATTACCTTTTCGCTAAGGAGTTCTTCGGTGATGTTTCCGTTAACTGCCTTTTCATATGCTTGTGCCCTAGGAACTCTCAAATAAATACCAACCATCCTAAAACTCAAAATAATTAGAGCGTAATTATTTTAAAAAGTAACAGTTGGGCTGAAATTATAAAGCCCATTAAAAAATAAGCCTTCATTGAGACCGTACCACGCACGATGAGACTACAAGTCTTACCGGCGAATTTGCTTCTAAACATGGCTTTTGATCGAGAAAATTAGAGAGAATGAGACGTCGGAACAAAAGCAGACGAGAGTGGAGCAATGGTTTGGATTTTGTCGCTGCGGCGGTGTTAGGGCTTTTGAGAGAATATAAAACTGTATGGGCTTTTTAACAGGCCTGGTTCATTGTTAATGGGCTTGTTCAAGAACATCTTTTATGGTTTGGCCTTAATAAATAAGCACTCGTATCTTGGTAACAACATGTAAATATGGTCAAAGATGTTGCATTTAACATTTGACAAAATACTAAGAGCAAAAACTGAAGCAGCAATTGCAAGTTTAAGAGTTAAAGGAACTTTTTTTTTTTTTTTTTGTTAAAGAAGAGTTAAAGGAGTTAAAGGAACTTAACGAGACTAGCTACCTTCTTCTTTAATCTATGGTCCATGTTTTAATTTGCTCGGTTATGCGTCCTTGTTTCTCCAGGGGTTAAGAGGGTTTAATCGGTTTTCGACCAAAGCATTAGTTAAGTTCAACCAAATTGGACATTAATTACGAGCTTCTTTTTCCTACTCCAGTCTAACGATTCTTTTATCTTACTTCATCTTATAAAATCGTCGAGCGTATAAATGCGGAATAAATGTATCAAAGGATGGACTTAAGAGCACTACACATGCTGCTGAACTGAACAACATATATGCTATGTTGGCCGAGTGAGAAATTAATTTCACATGGTGATTTAATGGTAAAGTATTGACTAATGACAAAAATTTGTTGGAAATTGGAATGAATTAATTGAAGTGATGGAAAAAAAAGTCATGACATGTTGAATTCACATTTTGCTTGTTTGCTGGTAACATTCAAATAATACTATAATGTAGGATTTTTATGAATTAAGCTTAGATTTAAGACATAAATAAATACGTTAATTGAAATCTAAAACAATTTTAATAGGTGAAATTAATATGCAAACGCCTTATTTATTTATGCATGCGTTAAAATTATACTACATACTCTATTTTCACGTAAGTTTTGTATATTTTTTTGTCGTCATTTTGTATTGTTATTATATACCTTACTTCACTTATTAGATGATTATTAGTTTATTACATTTATCTTATCTTATGTAACTTCACCAATCAACCCTGTATGAAAAAAATCTATAAATGAAGGAAGAAGATAGAAGAACATATATGAAAATATTGTGAAGAGAGATGAGAGGCGTACGAAACATCTACCACCATTTTTACACCTTTTCCTTCTTCCTTGTCTTCACTCTCCTTTGTCCTGCATTTTCAATCCATGTCAATAATTTGTCACCTACAGATTCTCTTACAATCTCAAGAAACCGAACCATTGTGTCTCCTGGTGATGTTTTCGAGCTTGGTTTCTTCAAACCCTCCTCGGATACTTCTCGTTGGTATCTTGGGATATGGTACAAGAAAATGTCCGAGAGAACTTACGTATGGGTTGCTAATAGAGACAAACCTCTCTTGAGTTCCATTGGAACTTTCAAAATCTCCGACACTAACAACCTCGTTCTCCTCGATCACTCCAACAACATTGTTTGGTCGACAAATCTCACCACAAGAGACGTGAGATCTCCGGTGGTTGTGGCAGAGCTTCTCGATAATGGCAACTTCGTGATGCGATACTCAAACAACAACAACAACGACCCAAGTGGGTTTTTGTGGCAGAGTTTCGATTATCCGACAGATACTTTACTTCCGGAAATGAAACTTGGTTTGGATCTTAAAACTGGATTCAACAGATTCCTAAGATCTTGGAGAAGTCCTGATGATCCGGCAAGTGGAGATTATTCGTACAAACTCGAAACTCAAGGGGTTCCTCAGTTTTTTCTATGGAGTGAAGACGTTCCAATACACCGAACCGGTCCATGGAACGGAATCCGGTTTAGTGGTGTACCAGATATGCGACATTTGAATGAAATGGTTGATAATTTCACAGAGAATAAAGAAGAGATCACATACACATTCCTGATGACCAAGAAAAACTCCGATTTCTACTCTAGATTGACAGTGAGTCCTTCCGGATATTTTCAACAATCCACGTGGATTCCGCCGTTAGGGAAATGGAGCATGTTATGGGTTTTACCAAGAGATCAATGTGATATGTTTAACATATGTGGACCTTACAGTTACTGTGACAACGCAAACGAGCCGATGTGTAGTTGTATCTTTGGATTCGAGCCTAAGGACCAGCAAGCATGGGAGTTGAAAGACTGGTCACATGGATGTGTAAGGAAGACAGAACTAAACTGTGTTGGAGATGCGTTTTTACGGATGGCAAACATGAAGTTGCCGGATACTACAACTGCGATTGTGGACAAGAGTATTGGGGTGAAGGAGGAATGTTTGAAGAGGTGCAAGAAAGATTGTAATTGTACGGCGTTTGCGAATGCTGATATCCGAAATGGCGGGTCGGGTTGTGTACTTTGGACCGGAGAGCTCATGGATATCCGAAATTACGCGGAAGAAGGTCAGGAGCTTTACGTCAGATTAGCGGCAGCTGATCTTGGTTTACTTAAGAAAAATAAGTTGTGGTTGATTATTACCGGATTGGAACTTGTCATGTGTTTATTTAAGACAAATACGAGTGTATGGTTTATATAAGAAAAAAATAAATTGAGCTTGATTATTAGCGTACTAAATAGCTAAAAATGGTGTGCTTTATAACTACTCCAAGTAATTAAGATATCCAATATAGTTGTACCAAAGAGGCAAACAAGTTTCCGAAAAGTTGCCATAATAGTTTGGAACATACACTGTTAGAATTTGCTGAGACACTAATGAAGAAATGAAAAGACTAAACGATACAAATAATGTGTGAATCCCATACAAAACTATGTATATATGAATCTTGGTCTTGCTAATAACTTCAGTTAGAGGGTTTATGAACTTGTACTAGATCATAAAGTTGGGTTTGTCTTGGGCCTTTTTGAATGCTCTAAAATAGTAAGCGATTTTAACGAAGTTGGGAGAATTTGCAAAACTATAATATCATTTATAAACAAAATTCAATTCGTTTAATGTAATAGTCCAATAATCTTTGTGCAAGATATCTAGTTAGATAGATACACACGACATGAGCATGAGGTTCTTTGTTCGCATGTAAACATTTCTGTGCCAAAATGGATCATGTTGTCAAATAAGTTTACATATACATATGAAAATTACAATTCTATAACGTTTTTGATGTTTAAAAAAATATTTATGGCATAATACACACATAAGCAAATTTAGTGTGCCATAGAATTTTCCCATTATGGTGTAATAACTAGGTCATAGTAAAAGTCAAATCTCGATGGGGTTACTCAAAACGGGTAAAAGTAATAATTGGGTGTAGTTGATAACTCTACAAAAAAAAGGACAAAAATGAGATTTGCATAAAATAGAGATACAAAATTGAGAAAATAAAAAAAATATCCTCTTCACTAAAAAAAACTTCCGTTATCGATCTCTCTCTCTCTTTCCCGAAGGGTGGCGAATCGAGTTTCCATGGTGGAACAAAACCCTAGCCTTATGCTGACACTAATTATCACTCTTCACTATTGAATTGGTGATGGACTCAGAGAAAATCCTCAATCCAAGGATTCTTTCGATTAATAGCAGCACCAGTAGCCGCAAAGGTATGTCCGTTGAGTTGCCGCAGAAACCGCCGCCACCGCCGTCGATACTAGACCGGTTCAAAGCTTTGCTAAATCAGCGTGAAGATGAGTTCGGTGGTGGTGAAGAGGTTTTGCCTCCGAGTATGGATGAGATTGTTCAGCTTTATGAGGTTGTTTTGGGAGAGCTTACTTTCAATTCTAAGCCTATTATCACTGATCTCACTATTATCGCTGGTGAACAACGGGAACATGGTGAAGGAATCGCTAATGCTATTTGCACTCGAATTCTTGAGGTTTGTTTCTGCCATTGAAGCTTTATTGTATACTTTATTAGAGTGAAAGTGGAAAATTTTTAGGTTTTTGATTGTCAGAGTTATGCAATTAGAGATGAGTGTTTGGTTTTGTGGTTTAGTGGACTGGGGCTGCTTATGATTTACCTGTGGGTGTGAATTAAGAATTTTTATGATACAGTTTCATGTATATATGCAGGCTCCAGTTGAGCAAAAGTTGCCTTCTCTGTATCTTTTAGACAGCATCGTTAAGAATATTGGGCGGGATTATGGTCGCTATTTCTCATCCCGTTTACCCGAGGTGAGCAGTCTACAAGGAGATGTTTGCTTAATTGATTTGTTTAGGGCTGAATGCATATAAGATGTTTTGATTTACGTCTGCTGCTTTAGGTCTTCTGCCTAGCATACAGGCAAGCGCATCCGAGTTTACATCCGTCGATGCGACACCTGTTTGGGACTTGGTCAAGTGTTTTTCCACCACCTGTACTACGCAAGATTGAGATGCAATTGCAACTTTCATCTGCAGCAAACCAATCTTCCTTAGGGGTTTCTGAGCCTAGTCAACCAACGAGGGGCATACATGTTAATCCAAAATACCTTCGTAGGCTGGAGCCCTCAGCCGCCGAAAATGTAAGCCTTTCTCTTTGTCATTGTGAACAGAGATGACATTCTTGTATGGATGCATCTACCACCTTGAAGCTATGATATGTTAAATTCTATAACTATACTAAGAAAACCTGATATTAGATTAGTCTAGCCTCATAATGGTTTTATCCATAGTATTTCTGTAAGTTTTGCGAGTTAGAAGAGATAGATGTTTACATTCTTCAAGTAATCAATCTTGACTATAAGGGGCTGTTGTCGTGGCCTCTCTCAATTATTCATGATGAGTAGGTCACTTGTACTCTAGTGCTGTAGTGCATTAGAAATTATCTTGTTAGCACATGCAGAGGGTTTCTTTTGGTTATAGTATAGTAGATCATTGTGTATGCATCATTTGCAATTCAGAACTTGTTTTCATACACTCTTATATCTGACATGCATATTTCCTTAACTGCTCTTGCTTGACATGCAGAATTTAAGAGGAATTAATTCCAGTGCAAGAGTGTATGGCCAAAATTCCGGTGGGTATGATGATTTTGAAGATCAGTTAGAGAGCCCATCTTCACTCTCTGGACAAAGATCTAGTACAGCTGGAAGTTTGGCCCTCTCGTCTTCTGCAATTGGAGGTAATATTCGTCAAGCCTGCAATCACCGGACCTGTACTTGATTGACTTTAAATAACCCTTAATCGTTTGACCCTAATGGCCCTGCAGCAGATGGTTTTCCCAGGAGGTTTAAGGATGGAGCTAATCCTTCTAATCAAGCCTTTAACTATGGAATGGGTCGAGCTACTAGCAGAGATGATGAACATATGGAATGGCGAAGAAAGGAAAACATAGGCCAAGGAAATGATCACGATAGACCCAGAGCGTTGATAGATGCATATGGAGTTGACACCAGCAAACACGTAACAATCAATAAACCAATTCGCGATATGAATGGCATACACAGTAAGATGGTTACACCATGGCAGAACACTGAGGAAGAAGAGTTTGATTGGGAAGATATGAGCCCTACCCTAGATCGTAGCAGAGCTGGTGAATTTTTGCGATCATCTGTCCCAGCATTAGGAAGTGTAAGGGCAAGACCCAGAGTAGGAAACACAAGTGATTTTCATTTAGATTCTGACATTAAGAATGGTGTAAGTCATCAGGTACGAGAAAATTGGAATTTGTCACAAAATTATCCACATACCTCCAACCGTGTTGATACCGGAGCAGGAAAGGACTTGAAAGTATTGGCTTCATCTGTAGGATTAGTTTCATCAAACAGTGAATTCGGGGCTCCTCCATTTGATAGCATTCAAGATGTTAACTCACGTTTTGGTCGGCCTCTTCCTGATGGGACATGGCCCCATTTGAGTGTTAGAGGACCCAACTCCCTCCCTGTATCTTCTGCTCACTTGCATCATTTGGCAAATCCTGGTAATGCGATGTCAAATCGCTTGCATGGTAAGCCTTTATATAGGCCTGAAAACCAGGTCTCCCAGAGTCATCTGAATGATATGACTCAACAGAATCAGATGCTAGTTAATTATTTGCCATCTTCATCTGCTATGGCTCCAAGGCCAATGCAATCGCTGTTAACCCACGGGTACCCTCCACATGGGTCAACCATTAGACCATCTTTATCAATCCAAGGTGGGGAAGCCATGCATCCTTTTTCTTCAGGGGTTTTATCTCAGATAGGATCCATCTCGCAGAATGCTGCGTTGGGAGCCTCTAATCAACCACCGGGTGGCGCATTCTCTGGTCTGATTGGCTCTCTCATGGCTCAAGGTTTGATCTCATTGAACAATCAGCCTGCTGGTCAGGTAATTATTCAAATCATGTCTTTGAGAGTCAGTTTCTTCTTCGTTCTTGCTTTATCTTGAATTGTTGGTTTATATATTCAGGGGCCATTGGGGTTGGAGTTTGATGCAGACATGCTCAAGATACGTAATGAGTCTGCAATCAGTGCTTTATATGGGGATCTCCCGAGGCAATGTACAACATGTGGTCTACGCTTCAAGTGCCAAGAAGAGCACAGTAAGCACATGGATTGGCATGTAACCAAGAACAGGATGTCCAAGAACCATAAGCAGAACCCTTCTCGGAAATGGTTTGTAAGTGCTAGCATGTGGCTCAGTGGCGCAGAAGCACTTGGAGCTGAAGCAGTACCAGGGTTCTTGCCCGCAGAGCCAACAACAGAAAAGAAGGATGACGAAGAGATGGCAGTTCCTGCAGATGAAGACCAAACTTCATGTGCGTTATGTGGTGAGCCATTTGAAGACTTTTATAGTGATGAAACCGAGGAATGGATGTACAAAGGTGCGGTGTACATGAATGCTCCTGACGAATCAACAACAGATATGGACAAGTCACAATTAGGTCCTATAGTGCATGCAAAGTGCAGGCCAGAGTCCAATGGGGTAAGCCATTCCATGCATTTTCATTAACTTCATTTGTGTCTAGTTGAATCCATTTTCATTTCCGCTGCTATAGATTTATCCAGTGGCGACCTCTTGATTTCCCAGTTATGGCTTTTTCAGGGTGATATGGAAGAGGGTAGTCAGAGAAAAAAGATGCGGAGTTAGATCCATTCGACCGAATTTTAGGTCTTTTTCTTGACTACATTTAAGTTACATTCTTATTTCTTCATCATCTATATGCACTTAGTCACAAAATACCATTGATGGAGAGTGTCTTCTTTCTCCTTTGTACCATTGAAAAAAAGAGAGAGGTTTACACCCACATATCTTATCATTCTTTATGCCTCTAAAATCCTGTTGTGCCTTAGAACATGGATATCGTGTAACTGTTCTGCATTCTCTGCTACACCTAACCTGAGGTGCTTGTAGTAGTAAAATCAGATGTCGCAACAGTAGCTTCCCCATGTATATGGAATACAATGTGTCCGTTTCTTTCTTGCTTCGGATTGTCTTTTTCTTTTTCATCTTTAGATACTGCAGGGAAAGCCCGAGAAGACTGATATTCGAGACGAACAGATTTCTTATGATGAATGGATCTCATAGATGCTGTTGCTAAGAGAACCAGTTTCAGGTTTTTCTTTAGAGCTTTCCCTGGCTGAGCTTTACTTTTTTATGTTAGGCTGTTAGCTAAGAATGTTGGTTAACATAACTCTTTTTTAAGCGTATTTGTTCTCTTGACTTTGTCTATAATGAAACAAGTTTTACTTTTCTTCTATCTGAACCTTTTGATTTTGAAATTTCCTTTACGTGTAACTTCATACCTACATGATACAGAGCCGGATTTATGTCGAAGTAGGATGAACGATAGTTAAAGCTTATCTAACTTGGCTTTTGAACTCAATGAAACTGGAATTTTTTCACGACTGCTACATTGAACTATGCGATATGAACTGAGGATGTTGAAATGGACAATTTTTAGAATTGCCAATACTTTTTACGTTTGTTAGAAAATTGGTTCGTTGGTTCAATGGGATAAGAGAGAGTTAACAGAAACTAATAGTACTAATAACAAAGATTTTAACCCATATCTGTCAAGTGCCACAAAAGGGCCTACAATACAAAACAACAAGAAACAGACACTTGGGTGGGAGAAACACAAAAAGTGTTCAAAAACTGTCAACGAAAGCAAAACGCAGAACGCAAAATAGACAATTAAAACCCGTGGTTTCCAGCAGAAGTCAATACCCGAACCTCTTTACCCTTTTTCATCATCTTGAGATGAAATTAAACGCTAAAGGTGCGTTCTTGACTTCCTTTGGATTTCAAAAAACACAAAATGAGAAACCATAACCGCTATTTTTCTCCTTCCTTCCTTTCCATACTCTCTTATTCTTACTTCTTCTGCATAAGAAAGAAAAAAAAACACAAACCACATGATCAAAATCTTAACTTAAATTCTTGTTACTTGCTCCACAAGAATCCCATTAGGTTAAGATCTTTATTATTGAATCATACCTGAAAAAACTACGCTCCTCCCCCACCGTCACAAGCAACGGCAGCTTTAATCCTCTCCACAGTACATTTGATCAGACTATTAACCGTAGCCACCGAGCCAAGAGAGAGTTTAGCTGTAGGAACAGAGTCAACAAGAATCTGAAACGCAACGGTTAAAAGCGAACCACCACAACTCCCAGAAGTAGTAGAAACCATTTCCTGCTGATTCCCATCTCCTCCTCCAACCGAACCATCCGGTAAAATAGCAAAACCAGACGGCAACAAAGCCACGTAATCAGGATCTCCACCGCTTAGAACCACATTCATCGCCACTATATCCACTGGCGCGTAAATCACATACGATCCTGATGCGTCAGTACAGCTCTCTTGTAAAATCAACATGTTGCTCTGGCTCGAGTTCCCACTCTGTTCATAACAACAACAACAACAACAACAACAACAACAACAACAACAACAACGAAGTTTTCATGAATCTGAAAACGATAAAACGAAGGAGAGAAATGGATTTTAACAATGTTTGTCTTACATTGACTCGGAGCAAGGAGACGCAGTTTCCAGGTTCATGACCATTGGCTATATGAGCCATTTCTTGAACCATACCTCCATTTGACAGAATATCCCACTGCAACAAAATTCAAATCCTAAATTAGCAAATTTTAGGCACAGTGTTTTCAAACCGGATGGTTAGACCGGTAAACCAGTGATCTGATAAAATATTCAGGCCCGGTTATTATATTTTAAAAATCAAGACTTCTACAAACCGTGACTCGCAAGGTTCTAACCCTATTTTCTTTGTTTATTCAATTTGGTCTGAAGTAATAATTTGCTTTACCTCTTTCCTTGAATTTTCGTCGCGGAGGAAATCGAAAACACGTTTGGGAGCAACAGGGATCCAGAAGGAAGTAGCTGCACTAAGAACAATACCCGGAGGTCTTCCCGGATCATCCATACTCTTCCGGGTCATAACCCGAACATCATCGGATCCTGTTGTCGACATTGTTGTCCAAGCGTGTGCAGTCGACGCGCCAACACCACTGCAGAAACTCATAACCATTCTCTCAGCTAGCTTCAACATACTCTTCCTTCCTTCAGGACTAGTTATCACTACATATATTAATTACCACAAATTAGTAAAAATTTAAACAACTTTTTCATTCAATTAAGCCCCAACATATTTAAAGTGATCAGAAAAGTCCATACCGGAAAGATCACCAGGAATGTTGCTGGCCATGGAGCTAGCAAGCCGCTCGCATTGTCGTTCGAGTGTAGCCACCCAACGTTTCGCACCAAAAGCTAAACCGGAATGAACCAATGGTTTATACATGTTGTGAACTGATCTATCATCCACCTCCATATGCTCTATCCATGTAACCTTGAACATAGTAATCATCATCAGCCCATAAGTTTTATAAAATTTAAAATTTTTACCCTAAACTTTATAAATACTCAGTTTGAACCCTTTATACCTTGGAATAACCATTAGGCAATTCTTGAATCAGACAACCTGAAGGCCTTCTTCTGGTTCTTAAGATCGGAGTACTTGGTCTAAGGTTATCCAAAGAGACATCAACCACAGCCCAAGAACCGTCGCTATGTTGTTTGCAGTATCTCACAAAGTAGTTCTCACGCGATGGGACTAGCGGTGATGGAACTTGAAACTCAGCTGTCATCTTCACATACCGGAAATACACATACCAAAATAACATTCAAAAACAGATTATCATAGTATTCAGTGTATAGTTTTCTTGAGAAGCAAGTAATTAAACCGATGTACATACCACTTGCAAAGCACCATTGTAGTTCCCAGCAACTCCAGTTGAAAGAACTTCAAGCGTCAAGGCTCTTGACACAATCCCAGAGAAAACACAAGACCATTGATTCTTATTCCCACATCAAAAGATTAAAACTTAAGTTAGTTTTTTTCAATCATTTTTAAGTGTTTAAGGTAGTTCAGTGATCAAGAAAGAAATTTAAATTTAATTACCACATCCATGAGAATCTCAACGAGATTGATGTGATTCATTATAACAACCGCAGATTGTCTCGACGCCTCTGATCTCAAACCTAATGGCTTTGGTCCAATTCCTCTCGGAAACGTTCTGAAATACTCTTCTTCGTTGAGAATCTCCATCGAATTATCAGTTGAAACCCACAAAGGATCCCCGACTTGAGCCATTCTCACGAGTTCCTCCATAGCTGCAACCGCTAGCTCGACGATTATAGGCTTATCTGTCTCAGAAGGGATCGAAACCGACCTCAAAATGTCCCCTGTTCCATACATTTCTCCTACAAATCCTGTCTGGTTCCCAAAGTTTCCAACTTCAAGATCAAGCGAACGAGAAGGAGCGTGGATCGCTAGTGGAGCAAAAGACGATCCTAATGGCTTCCCAACGTATTTCGCAGCAATAGCAGAGATCCTATCAATCTGTAGATGAAGAGGTAACAGATTCAGAATTTCATTCATCAAACAAAAGGAACATAGACAAATGTATGTATACCTCTTCGCGGAGTCGAGCATTTTCGATCCTGAGATGTTGTTCGTCAAATGACATTTCTCCAATAGCAGCTGGACCGCCACAGTTAGGGCATGTAGCATTGCTTAGAGCTTCTTTGTATCTATTGTTCTCTGCTCTAAGCTTGTCATTGTCTGACTTTAGAATCTGGTTCTCATGCCTCTCACTTTGTGCCTATATACATTACACACAAAGTATTGTGAGAAATCTTTGTATTAATATGAAACTAAATAACTTTCAAAAACCAAAATAATTAATATTGGCTTCAAGAAGAATATCTATATATACTAGTTAATGGTTACAAACCTTCATCTGTGTACGTTTGTTTTGGAACCAAAACTTGACTTGAAGAGGCTCTAAATTGAGATCGCGGCTCAACTCTTTTCGTTGCTTATCATCCGGATGAGGACATTCCTTAAAGAATCTGTAAAAATCCAAAAAAAGCTCAAAATATAAAAGAATGTTTTCAATCTAATGTGACATATATATGAGCTATGAGTTTTGAGTGTTTTTTCTTACGATTCGAGCTCTTGAATTTGGCGTTGCGTGTGGCGATGGTAACGCTTCTTTTTGTTGGGACGTTGGTTAGGATCTTGAAGCTCTTCACCAGAAGGATTCTCAGTGGTGACTTCTGCACCAGACTTGGTCTCGAAATCATCTTCTCGGCTTCCGGTGATTCCCAAGTCGTTATCGGAGGTACTCTTTGGGGTCATATCGAACATATGATGGCTCTCAAACATGTTTGGATGGTACATTGTGATGGATGATTGACTATGATCACTCAGTTAGATATTTAGGAGTTGTCAACTTTGGTTTCCTTCAAATCTTCAAGGTTTTGATTACTATGTTTTCGTGATTTGATTTTCTTCTCCAAGTATATCTTCCACTGCCCAAAATCAAAATCAAAATCGAATTAGTTAAAGATTATATATGAAACGCTCATTTATGTATATAGAATGAAGAAGAAGAAGATCATTATGGAAATGGAAGAAAATAATTATATTAAGGGAAAGTGATTTCTAGCTGTTATGAAACTATATATTTAATTTATCATTTTCACAAGTAACCGTTAATTGTTAGATTTTTGTTCACTCTCCAGTTTTTTGGTTGGATATATATAGATAAATTTATCTAATAGAAATTATGTAACTAGTAATTAAAACTCTTAATTACTTTACAACATAATAAGTTGAAACATTTACATAATGTATACAAACCTAAAAACCTATCTTTGACAAAGATGAACGATAATATTTGACAAAAATGTGGCACAACTACAGACATATTATATATTTACGTACATATGTATATAATCAATATGATAATGATATAACATAACATATAAACAATATAATCAATATGATAATGATCTAATATATTAGTTTTACAAATAATGAGATGAAAATATGAGGAGAGATTTGAATGTAGACCCAAAATGATATCTTTATTAGAAAACTTGAGAGAAAAATATATCATCTTTCTTTCAGAAAGTTTTTTTTGAAAACGATTTTCTTTACAAAAACAGATAAATAATTTTTAGATATAAATTGACGGCCTTACAAAAACAAGAAATGAGAAAAGAAACAAACAAAAATGAGATTTGGACAGTTTTTCTTCAAACTTAAGATGGATCCAGCAATATTACGCATAGTAATAACATATGAGAGTAATATCTTTCTCCAAGTATGTGTACACATAAACAAACAAACAAAAGGAAAATCAATCTTGAAAGTCACAAGACTTGTCAAAGCATCAGATCTATCAGACAGATCTAGTGTACGGTTGAGGAAGAAGCGAGAAAGAGAGAGAGTTATGATCTTTAATAAACCCTAATTTGGGGTATAAGGTCAAAAATGATACAGTAAGAAGAACACTTAATAATTTAAATACTTACTCAATTCGATCTGAAACTCAAGAAAGTTTTGAAACCCTAAAGACAGATCTCTTTGTAATTATTCTTTCTTTTTCCTTTTTGTTTTGCTGAAGTTTTGTGTTCGAGTTTAATGATCTTCTCTCTCTTTGTCGACTCAAAAAGCTAGTAAGAGAAGAGAGAAGAGAGAGAGAGAGAAAGAGATTCACAAGTTTCTAATCTCTCAATTGAATTTATTAAAGAATTAAATTGACCTTGGTCTCTGTGCACTAAAAACGAACCGTTTCCAGTAACAAAACTAATGAAAAAGGCTAAGTTTAATTAATTAAATACAGGATATAGGGTTGATTGATTAAAAGTGATTAAAAAATAGTATATAGTATGTAGGGTTAATTAAAGCGTTGACAATAAGTCAATGGTCTTTTTTTGTGACACAACCACCAAGTAGATTTCGTCAAACCCCTTTTGGAACTCCTAACTCCAAGAAAGTTTTTTGTAACGCTTTATTTATCTTAGATCATAAGTCACCGCAAAAAGACACAAAAACATTAAATTAAACTAAATTAAAATAATCTCAGAAAGAAAACAATTCACAGGTAAAAATCATAGGAATCGAGGAGATCTTGAGAACAAAAACAAAAACCATAAACAAAAAAAAAAAAATGGAAGATCTAAAGAGTCTCAAACAACATGCATGGAATATGGATCCGATCTATAAACATAATCTAAGATACATACACGCAAATGCATGTGCATACATATATGTGTAGAGAGATCTTTAACAAAAAAAAAAAATATATGTGTAGAGAGAGAGATAGAGAGAGAGAGAGAGAGATCTTACTCTCTATTTTCTTGATAATAGAGATCTTACTTTTGGAGACACAGTGAACCCTAATTCACAATGATCTTTGGTTTGTGCCCACTTTTTCCTTTGAAGAACAGAAGATCGGGGACAATGACAAAGAGAAGTAAAAGGGTTGGTTGCTAGCTAGCTAGGGATCCGGCAAACCGGCCGGTTACCCGAAAACCGTTTTTTTTTCTGGGATGATCTTAAACCGGGGGAGAGTTAGCTAGGTGTTAAGAACAATGGAAGTGTGTTGTTGAAGAAGAAGAAGGAGAAGAGGACAAGAGAGGAAGAAAAAAGAACAGGTGGAGTTATTGATGAGCGCATAGAGAGGGTGCAATGCATTTATGATTATCTAAAGCTCCATTAATGCTTTAGTGAGAGAAACTTACTCATTCTTTGTATATTTATCTCTAGAGAGATAGAGAGAGTTTCAGTTCATTCATTCATACAAGTAAAAATAAAAATCACTGTTTTTCTTTCACCTCATGGATTCTCATACTTCGATAGGTTAAATAAAAACCTCTAAGAGTAATTATTTTTTACATGCAAGTGTTTCTTTCGCTTCCACATATATATACTAATGTGTATAATTAAGTATCTATTACAACCAATTCCTACCTCATCTATATCGATTCAACAACAACGCATTAGTTAGGTTAACAAAGATTTAGTTATACTTTTACCAAAAAAAAAAAGATTTAGTTAATTTTCATATTGAGTGGTTCTAAAAATTTAGATTGTTTTGTTTTTAGTTTGTAGACCTAAGTACTAGTGTACTACAAAATGTATGCGTGTGTGTGTGTTTGTATGTGGCTAAATGTATGCATGGATACATAAATGGTTTTTATTGTTCAAACTTCAAATGCTAATTAAGCTTATGATATTGTTGTTTCTGTATTAATGGTACTAGATTTACTCTTATATGCGAGAACTATAGAAGCATGGACGACGACATATCAATGTGAGATAATTATATTCTTCCATTAATGTTCTTTGTTAGTATTAGCTAGGTCTTCCAATTAAGTATTTATAACCCTTTTCTAATAATCATCAATTTTAATGGCCCTAGATCTCGAGAGAATATCTAATATATTCAACATTTTCTAATAGTTTTATACTATAGAAATGGCTTTGATCAATATATATATATATATACTACATAGAGTTTAAGTTACTGAAAAAAGAATATATATATCAGAACTATTGATCTACAATAAAAAAAGGAGAAAAATATATGCCACAGAACATAAATATATAATTTGACATTCTACTCAAGTCTCAATTAATTGTGCCTGTTACTAGTCATATCCGCATAATTGATCTCGTTATATGCATATGGGAAAACTCTGTTGAGATGAATTTTGTTAACGAGGGAAGAAATTGTGACTTTGGTATAATATGGGTTTCGTCGAAGTCTTCTTAAACTATTTGTAGCTCAAAAAAGTTGAAACAAAGCTCGATCCGAAACAATCGGAGGTCGATTCAAAGAAAAACAAGCTCAAATCATGAAGATCGAAGCTCGAAGATGAAGCAAGGAATGAGAAATCGAGTTGCGGAAGGAGAGCGAATATGCTCTGATACCATATCAGATAAGAGAGAATAAGAAAGTTTGTTATTTCTCATTAAGTGTAAAAGTGTTTACATGTACAGTATATATAGTAAATAAGATTACATGTGAGTAAAAACTATTTACATGTATTACTATACTCTAATAGGCTAGTTCATGTGTTAAATAGTTGTAAAAATTATAGGTTTAACTTAACTAATTTTCAAACAATAAAGAAAGAAAGAAAGAAAGAAAGAAAAAACTTATAGATTAGGAAAAACATTGAGTCACTTGGAGACGATGTACATTAAACATTTTAGCTGTAAGTTTTTAATCCATATTGAAACTACCTATAAAAATAAATATGGTAATAAATAAAAGGTGAAACATATAGCTAGGTGAGATGGATTTTGTTGTGATGATTATGTAATTTCTGCTAGAAAATGTATCTTGCGTTTTGTTGGTATAAATGAAATTTCAAATTTCATCAACACTAAAACATTTTATCTCGCTAGTGGCTTTTACTTGTTAAGCAGGAAATTCAAGTCTAAAGACTCGAGGAATGGATTGTGATCCTCTTTGTTACTTGTGTGTTGAGAAGGAAGAGACAGTACTTAATCACTTTTTTTTTTTTTTTTTTAATTTGGTTCAAAAGACGGTTAATCACTTAATCATACGTTCTTTGAGTGCCCTTAAGTCTTGCAAAGTTGGAATATATATGGTCATCAATATCATTCCACAAGGTATCTTTCCAATAACATCGATTTATTCGAATTTGGATTTTTTTTTAACCAACATGTAAGTGATAATTTTGGATTGATCAATATAGTTTTTCATGAGTTTTTTTTGATAAGTTTGGATGGCTCATAATGAAAACTAAACAGAATAATTAATTTTTTTTCTTCCACTTATTATCATATATATGTTCTAGATTAGTCGCAATATAGATCATTTGCACACGGATGAGATAGAACCACAATCCAAACAGTAGACATTGTGCGTATGCGAGATATACTCAGCTATTGGAGAAGTAAACGACAGGTTGTTCAATGGAAACGTCAGAATCTCTAAAATTAGAGCGGTAATTTAACGGATCTGTGGCAAAGGTAATTAAGTAAATTAATGAAGATGAAACGCTTGGAGCAATGCGATGTCACCTTCAAATAATTAAGCTAGTGGGAAAGAGTGCTACTGTTACCCACCAACCAACTCATTTATGGACTCTATATATATTTTCTTATATTTTATTTGTTTATTTATAATTGTTTCCTTATTTCAAAATTTCAAATTCTAAAACATTGCGTAAAGTTATATAGACATAATTGTTTTTTCTCTTTCTGAAGAAGTTGTAGTTATGTTTTTACAAATGTTTCAGAAAAGATTACTGACTTAATTTTCATTAAAAAAACATTAGTAAAAACATAACTATGTGATTTTATTACAGTTTTTTATATGAAAAGGTAACCGATGATGTCCCCGTCTAAATAAAAAAAAAACATTTGTAAAAACATAACTATGTAATTTTATGACAGTTGTTTTTATATGAAAAGGTAACCGGTGTCCCCAAGTCTATATAAACCTCCTTTGATTTTGTTTTTATTAAACGAGTGGTACAATTTAACCTTCAAAGTCAATATGTAAATGAGACTACAAAATGGGAAAATAAAATTGAAAAGCCATATAGTTAGTGATATATATACACATGCATGGGACCGAATCATTTAATTTTATTTAGTAACATTTCAGTTTATGTTGAGATTTATTTGGCCCCACATTTTCCAAGTTGAATTTTTGAATTTGTTTTCATTTAAACTTGTATTTTGTTTAATGTAGACTGTTGATAGATTCCACTTTTCTTCTTCATTAATTTTCAAAGTGAAACTTGGAGACAATATATGCTATATTTATAAGAGTAATTACTAGCAAACTATTGTTTAATTAAGAGACCTTTTCCCAAATAAATTAAAAGACAGCTATGTATAACAAGACTAAAAGTCCAAAACTTAAAAAAATCCTACTATTTTTCTCTCTTTAAGAAATGCTGAAGTCAAGTGCCGTAGATGGACACAATTTTGGACATTTAGCTTTCATTAAAAAAAATTGTGAGATCATGCAAATTTAACTCCTTTGCCAAGTTTATTGCTCAAAGTGTTCTCGAGATGGCGTTTCCAGCCTTATGTCACCTTTGGAGATCTTGTTTGGCTTCACGACCAGATTCGACCGAAGCATGCAAAATGTTTAGGTCTATCTCTTGTAGTCTTGTTGGTGTTTCTATTTTGTCAATTAACTTTCTTACTATATGTTTTTGTTTTTGTTTTCGTTGTTTCTTCTGTTTTGACTTTTTTCCCAAAACGACACAAACAAAAAACTTAGCAATTAACCACTCAAATTCACCATCATTTCATACATTTCTTCTTGCTTTTTCTTTCCCTAATTCTCTCTAAGTTTACATTAAAGAAACCAAACTCCAAACATTACAACATGTCTACATATGTAAGAAAAAATCTCAAAATAAAAAATCAACAGAAGATGCAAACAAAATCCCCTTAAGTATGCACAAAGATGAGAAAGTTTTGATTTTTTTTCTTCCATCTATCATTATATGTTCTAGATTAGTCGTGATACAGTTGATTTATACGAAGATTTGGACAATATAGATGATCTTGACGATTTTGGAGATGATGATGATGAAGAAGACTTCTTTCTTCTACTACTTTTCTTCTTGTTATTTTTTGGTAAATTTATCGGAGTTACTGGAGGTATATCTCTTAGTGTATCTGATATTGTTCGTTGACTCGATCCTTGATCAAAATCTACATTTATATAAAAATAATATAATGGAATTAGTGTATTCTATAAATTTACTTTAGAGAAGACATTAGATGTACATACTATTTTTATTTGAGAAAAATAAACGGATCAATAAACCTCAATTTAAACAAAGATATATATAAAAAAATGGACTACTATACAACAAGTTTTTTTTAAGAAAAAACTCACAAATCATAATAAATACAACTTCTTATTGTAAAATCTTCACATCTTGCATCATTTTGATTTTAAGTTACAAATTTATAACCAAATTCCATCTCTTATGTGAAATGAGGATCTACAAATCTTCTATTTTTTCAATCTGTTTATAAATATACAAAAACAGCGATATCATCTATATATATTTATCAACCTATTAAGTGGGTGGTCAATCACAAGCAACTAAAAGAAAAACAAACTGTAAAATGTAAAAGAAAAAATAACTTACCAGTGGAAGAAGAAGTGAAAAAAGAAGTAGAAGGTCTTGCATTACTGAAAGATGATGGTCTCGGTGATAAAACCTCAGCTCCGACCTTAAACTCACTCATCTTCACAATAAATACAAATATCCATTGATTAGCTTTATGAATATTAATATTTGGTTTTACTTGTTAGAAACTACAATTTTCACATAGTATAGGCCAAAACAACAACACTAAAGAACTTACCCAACCAGGAGCACTGCCAGAGGAACCCTCCCAGCCAATATGA